TAAAAAAATTTTTTTAAAGTTTTTTGATTTTTTATGTGTTATGCCTGCATGTGTGTAAGTGCACCTGTGCCATGGAGTGCCCACAGAGGACAGAAGTGGGCACTGGATCACAGAAACTGTAGTTACAGATGGTTATTAGTCGCCATGTGGGTGCTGGGATTTGAACCTCCATCTTCTGCAAGAACAGCCAGTGCTCTTAACTGCTGAGTCATTGCTCCAGCCCCCTCCTTTCACTTTTAAGTTAAGCAAGGTTTACTTTTCCCTTAGAAAATGCACCCGGCCTCCTGACTGTTTTCAATCCATACACCAAACCGTTTCCAGGAGTACCCACTCAAGGATCCCTGTTGGCGCAGACTCACCAGGAGACTGCCCAGGCCCTCATAGTCGAACACTTTCTTCTCGTAGGTTTCAGCCAGCTCTTTGCTCAGTGTGATGGCCTTCTCCCACATCTGTAGAAGGAAAGCAAGATGAGACGTGGAGGCCCAGCAGTCACCTCCTCACTCAGCAGCTGTCGGTTCCTCTGGTGTCACTAGGACTAAGCAGTCAGGCAGCTTGGACGCCTAGAGGGGACCCTGGTCTGCCGTCCCCCTCAGTGGGCTAACCCTTTCTTTCCTGACATCATAAGGATCTGCAGGCTGAATATCCCTCATTTGAAATGCTTGGGGCTACACGAATTTTAGATTTTGGATTTTTCTTTTTTGATTTGGGAGTATTTACTGCTGAGGCATCCCTAATCCATAGTATTCCAAAATCTGGTTTCGTTGGGTCATGTTGATGCTCAGCTGTTTCAGATTCCAGAACATTTTGCATTTTTGAATTAAGAGTGTTAACCTGTGTATCTTGGGTACTTAGGTGTCTCCTCTAGTTCTGTCTTCCAGAACACATGTTCCCACAGGAACAATATGGAGTTTAAAAGAGAAAAAAAAAATGGGCTGGAGGGATGGCTCAGTGGTTAAGAGCACTGACTGTCCTTGTAGAAGACCCATATTTGAATCCCAGCACCCACATGGCAGCTAACAACCATCTGTAACTCTAGTTCTAGGGGATCTGATACCCTCTTCTGTTTTCTGTAGGCATTGTACGACATGGGTACAGTTACATACATGCAGGCAACACGCTCATACCATAAAATAAAAATAATAAATAATTTTTTAAAGTGTTTAAAGAGCAAAGCGACAATGACTTGGCAAGATGGGTCATTTAAGGATCTGAGAGTGTTGGGGTGTCACTGGAGGGGAAAGGAAGCTGGTGTGAGACTCTGGAGTGTGTGTGCCTGTGAGTGTGTGTATGGGTGTGTATGGAGGGCTGTGTGTGTGTGTGTGTATGTGTGTATGTGAATGTGTTGGGGGGAGTATGTATATGTGTGTGCATATGTGGGTATGTATATGGGTATGTATGTGGGTGTATGTGTGAGAACGTCTGTGTATGTCTATTTATATATAGCCACATGTGTGTGTGGGGGGGGAGTATGTGTTTGTGTGTATGTGTGGGAATGTGTGTGTGTGTGTGTGTGTGTGTATGGGAGTATACGTGGGGGTGTCTGTATGCAGGAGTGTTGTGTGTGTGTGTGTGTGTGTGTGTGTGTGTGTGTGTGTGCATGCCAAGTACCACTGCACGACAACTGTTTGCAGGGACGGAAGGGGACTTGAGGCACTGTGGTGCAGAATTCGGCAAACTTTTTCCATGTAGGGCACTGACTACTCTGTCTCTACCCAAACTATGTACTAGTCAGTTTACACAAGACACTAATGTCTAAGGAGGCGTCAGGTCCTTTGCAGCCTCCTGGATGTCTGTGCTGTCTGAGACCGGCACCCCAGTGCAGCCCCCTCACCATTTCGGTAGCATGTGGAGTGTCTCAGATGAACACCATCCAAGACACTCACAGCTTACTTCATTTGTTCATTTTCTCTCCAGTAAAATCATCAGAATTCAAGGGCGTACAAGGGAATAATAAAGAGTGGGCCATGTTATATAATAAGGAATTCATCTCCTCTTTGTCCTGAGTTCCAGGGAGGAGCCTCCAAACCTTATCTCCTGTCCAGAAAAGTCAAAGTTTTTAATATTCCTCCAGTGCCCCGGTCCCCTTAGATCACCTGGGAATCTGACTAGGATGGGCCCTCCTGAGTTTGTTAAGGAAGTGACTCATGGTACTTCCTAGACAGAGTGAGGATGGGGGATAGCCTCATGATGAAAGAGCTGTAGCTATAAGCTGGGCATGGTAGCTCACCCTGAAATCCCAGCACTCTGGAGGCTGAGGCAGGAGGATTACAAATTCAAGGTTAGTCTGGGCAATGTAATAAGATTCTGTTTGAAAAAAAAAAAATCAACAACAACAAAATAAAACAGTTTTGTGGAACATGCCTTTAATCCCAGCACTAGGAGGCAGAGGCAAGGATGGAGTTCTGTGAAGTCCAAGCCAGCCTGGTCTACAGAGTGAGCTCCAGGTCAGCCAGGACTACATAGTAAGACCCTGTCTCAAAAAACAAAAAGAAAAAAAAAGTAGTGTAGAGCTTGGTATTACAAGCCCTGCCTCCAGGAGGGTGAGAGGGCTTGCAGATTGAATTCAGTCATGTAGTTAATAATTCAATCATGCCTATGTTATAGCAAATTCTGTAAAGTTCAGGTTCAGGTGAGCTTTCTAGATGGCAAATACATTGGGTTTTAAATTATTTATTTTTTTATTCATTTTGAGACTGGTTGTTCAGAAAATGTTGGTCTCAAAAGATCCTTTTGCTCAGCCTCCTGAGTTGCTAAGATTACAGGTGCACAGTACTGCATCTGGTAGACAAGTTGACTTACTGGAGAAGGAGGGAGGGGATGCTGGAGCTCTGAGACCCCTCCCCATTTAGTCATTTGGCTGGTCCTGATTTGTGTGTAATAATTAAATGTACTAATCTCCCCAATTCTGTTAGTCATTCTAGCAAATTATCAATCAACCCTGAGGGGGCTGCCCTTGGCTTCTAGTCAGTTGAACAGAGGAGTGTAAATGGTCTGGAGACCCTCACACTTACAGCTACCATCAGAAGGAAGTGCAGTTTAAAAAACAGATTATTTTTTTATTTGGACACCCCCCCAAAAAATTAATATGCATTTGGCTAGTTGTGGAACTGTGTTAGACTCCATCTGTTGCAAAAAAGAAGCTTCTTTGATGGGTAGTGAGAGGTCCGCTTGCCCAACCTAAAGAACTGTGGGCAACTGATGGCCGCTGGCACAGAGAGAAGCAGGCTCTTACAGGGATGGGACTCCTAGAAGGCTGAGCAGGCTCCAATGGATGGATCCATGCTGAGGGACATATGGGGACACAGATCGGATTCTATAGGCCGTATGTATATACAGTGGAATACACCGAAGTGGGGGCGGAACGGGGAGGTGCAGATGGAGAAGGAAATCTAAGTATCATCAAATTAGATTGTATAAAAATCATAAAAATTCAATGAAAAAAGAAAAGTAATTTCAAAAAAAGTCTTTCTATTTGTGCATACGTGTACATGCACTGTGCATGTATGGGATATGTGTGTATATGCATGTGTGTATATGGGGAGGTGTGGGTGTGCTGGCCTGTGTGGAGGCTTGAGGTTGAGGTCACGTGTCTTGTCCTCAATTGCTTCTGCACCTTATTTTTTTGAGAAAGGTTTTCTCACTGAATTTGAAGCTCATCACTTTGGCTAGCCTGGCTGGCCAGTAAACCCCAGAATTCTCCTGTCTCCTCCTCCCAACTCCGGGGTTACAGGCATGCATCCCTGTGCTCAGCTTTTACACAGGTAGTGGGAATCCAAACTCAGGTCCTTAAGTTCACAGAGCAAGCTCTCTGCCCACTGGGCCATCTCCTAGATGTGAGTGCAATTCTGTTGTTAGCCTGTGTACCCTGTGCTGACTCGGTGCCTCAAACTGGAATGTACTGATTATAGTCCTTTTTCTCTTCCCACTGGTATGAGAACAGAGAACCCACAACTCACTTTGCCTTTGTCAAAGTAGGATATGATTTCCTGATACAGTTTCTCCTTAAGTTCTTGCTGGGTGTAAACACAGTAGCTGTCCCTCTGAAGTAAGTGGGGTACACAGGGCTTGTCAGACCACTAGAAAGCAAAAAGCAACACCAGGGATGAACATCACGTGTCCATTCATTAAGAGAGATGAATGTAGCAAATATTCAGACAGGAAAAATCAGGAATATCCCTCTTTGCATATGTCTGACTCATCCATATTGTATTTTAAGTTATTTACTAAACACAAACATTGCATACACGCGGATAGCCATATGCCAGCTCTGAAACAAGTGTCATGCCAAATGGACGAACACGTGCAGCATTCCTGGGAAAAGCAAGGCATCAAGCGGGGCTGCGACCACCGTGACCACAGTACCGAAGGCATCGTGAACACATCACATGAGGGCTACAAACTGTCACTGTTTGTGAACGTTACATCCTTCAGAGTTCAAGGCAGTCTACCAAAAAAGCACTAGACACAACAACTCAGTACAAACTAGCAAAAATTTAAAAAATTAAAAACATTTGAAAATAAACCTCAGCTACAAAGATTACTAGTCGTGCAGAGGATAACAGAAGGAAATGCCCCAGCGACATGAAGCCAACAGTTAAGATAACTCAGACATCACAAGGATCATTCAGGCCTTACATGCGGAGAACACGCATGTGCCATGCGAGGGCACAGCAGCAGACCTGAAGAAAGGGAAACTCACACTACGATCTCATAAACACGTAAATTCTCACCACAATCTGCCCCCACCCCCACCTCTTTTGGTAGTGTGACTTGAATCCAGGGGTTTAAGCATGCTGGGCATGCGCTCTACAACTGAGCTAAATCCCCAGCCTTCTTTTTTTTTTTTTTCTTTTTTTACAGCAGACAACAAATTTGATTAAACGTAAAGAAATAAACTCACACAGGAAGATTCCCAAGTGGCAAGGGGATTTGGAAACCGAAATCTAAAGCTCCCAGGAGGGCTTGGGCCTTTTCAGTATTGGTGGTGGTATAGGGTGGGTCCCTCACCCCTGATTTTGGATTGGCTAACTTGTTGTAGTTCCAGGGTATGTCCAGTCCTGGCCTTGGACTTAGCTAAACTGGTTTGAACCAGTCAGCCAGGAGAAGAGGCCCTACTAGCTGGAGCGGAGGTCCTCAGGCCTTTGTAAAGAAGCTGGAAGTTTGTCATCTGTTACTTCTTTGTGGTCCTTTCCTTTTGTATTGGTTGCCCTGTTAGGGATAAGTCAGCTTCTGGCCCCTCCCTCCCAGAGGGCTGGCTCTAGGCTAGACCAGCTCTAAGTGCGGATGATTTGCACTTAGCTCTTTGGAAAGACCTCACAGACTTGCTGGACGTCCTTTCAGAGGAAAACTGGCCCTGCCCTGAGACACTGCTCATCTTCAGTGGTTCCCTCCTCAAAACCTATTGGGCTGGGCATGGTAGTGCATGCCTTTAATCCCAGGGGAGGCAGAGGCAGGGGGATCTCTGTGAGATGGAGGTCAGCCTGATCTACAGGCCAGCAGGGTATACAGGGAGTCCCTATGTCAAAAAAACCCAGCCTTCTTTTTAACATTTAAAAAATTTTCAAACAGAGTCACTCAGTTGCTCAGGCTGGTCTTCAGCTCGTGATCCTCTCTGCCTCAGGCTCCCCATCAACTGGGATTACACCACCAGGCCCTTCAAAGTCAGTTTTCTCTTTTCTTCTTTTTCCTTCTCTTCCCTCTTTCTGACTCCCTCCCCCTCCCCTCTCCATTTCTCTCTTCTCTAGCTCCCTTCCCTTCCCCTGTCCTCCTCCCCTCCCCATTTCCCTTCCCCTCTCCTCTCTCCAGTCTCCTCCTCCCCTCCCCTCCCTTCCCCTCCCCTTTTCTTCCCTTCTGTCCTTTCACTGGAGATTGAGTTTAGGTACATGAGCATGATAGACAAGCACTTTACCACTGAACTACATCCCAATCATAGGCCAGTTTCATGATTCTAAGACCACATGGAAAAATACAAAAGAAAGAAAACAATAAACAAAGGAGCAGTGCTGAGTAGGTGCCAGGAGATAAGACACTGTTAGAAATTAATCACAAAAATCATACAGTGCTAACAGTACATGAAAAGAGGGCGGCCCACAGGAAAATGGATACTAGGATGACACCTCCCCAACAGAATTCAGCACGTTTAAAGCTGAGATCTTATGCTAGTGAGGAAGACGTGGGTGATATTTAACAAATACCAACTCTGTCTGGGAAGAAAAGCTGGATCCACACCTCATACGTGACACCAGGAAAGGGCAGTTTACTTTTTAAAAATTTTTTGATGTAGGCTCTCCCGATGTAGCCCAGGCAAGCTGCGCCAACATAGTTACCTGCAGAAGCTCTGCATGCAGGAGAAGCGTGTAGGCAGCTTCCGTGTAGTTCTCACAGTCACGGTGCAGATCTCGAAGCTTGTACAGGTATCTGGGAAGAAGGGGAGAGAGAAGTCCCTTTGTCTCAGCCAGGTGAGCTAGCACCTAGTGCAGTCCAGTCAGTGCCAGCCTGCTGCCAAGGTCTTCCCTCTCATCTTGGAACACCTCCCTTCGCTTGGGCAAGACTCATGACCTCCCTTTCTATACCACTGTGTTTCCCTCCACTCTTCCTTTAAGGCAGTGTTCTCAATTTAAATTTTTTAAGCCTTGGTCCTCTTTTGGAGGTAAGGAAAAGCTTTGGAATCTCTGCCTGAGGCAATGCGTAGAGCAGATGAACACCTTTGTTTCCCGGTTGGGGATTAATGAATGACTCCCCAATCTAGGGCTCTGTGGTGGTTATCTTTCCTGCCTGTCCTTTTGGGTGTCTCCTGATTATCCTGGCTGGAAGTTTCCCATCCTTCCCTGAACCCTGACATGCCTGTTACAGACTCCCTCAAACTGCACTCATTTGGGCTCTGTCTAGTGAGCTCATCTTCTGATGGAAGATGGAGCACATCTGTATTTTCAGGAGCCTGTCAAGGCAGCCAGCACGGTGACAGGGCAGAATACTTTCTGGTTGGAAAATGTATCTTAAATACACGATACAAAACTGCAAAGCCAGGCATTTCCTTCACTTACCTTATGTATATATCCTCTCGCTTCTTTTCTTTATAAAAATTCTGTCAAAAAGGTCACAAAACACCAACATAAATTAAAAGCTGTTGATGAGCTTTCCACAAAAATAGCCAAAGTGTGATTGTTGCTGTTGTTTTATTACTTTTATTTTCGATTTTTATTTATTTGTGTGTGTGTGTGTGTGTGTGTGTGTGTGTGTGTGTGTGTGTGTATGTGTGTGTATGAGCACAACTGCCCATGGAAGCCAGAAGAGGGCGTTGGAGTCCCTGGAGCTGGAATTACAGGTGGTTGTTGTCTGACTGACATGGATGCTGAGAGCTGAACCCCAGTCCTCTGGAAGAGCAGCAAATACTCTAACCATTGAGTCATCGCTCCAGGCTCCAAGGCTGCTTTTCACATGTCTCTTTTCCAAAGAGCTCTTTAAGAAGCTCCCCCCAGCAGAACAGGAAACTATGAGTTAGAAAGAAGCAGGAGCAGGTGGTTTCGAATGTGCTTCTGAGAAACATGAGAAATTTCTATGGGACCAGCATATGCCCAGCCAGTGCACCCTGAAGTCACTTGGTACATCAGGGAAGTGGGAGGTTCTGGGGTTACGTTAGGCAAAAGAATGCTCAGCAACCTAAACCTTGGAGGTCTAGGTTCCCAGGGAAAGGGAAAGCCAGCGTTCTATCATCAGGAGGTTGCACAGACTAACTTTATTTCACGGCATAGGTTTCTGCCTATGTGTTACAATCACAACTGTAAAGCAGTCGCACCTGAGTAAGCCTGAGACCTTCAAGGAGAGCTGAATGGAGCACTTATGTCATGTTTTCCAGGCCCACTTCCAAATTTACCCTAAAAGTCTGGTCTCGCTCTATCTGTGAGTCCTTAAGCGAGTCTGACTCAGTAGGGCACAGAGTCCATAAAGGTGGCCCAGGGTGCCTGTATATCCGTGCTATTAACCTAGAGCTGAGCCACAGCGAGCGGGAGCCACAGTGCCCGCTTGCCATCCTGGGGACAGGCACTTACCAGAACGTTCACAGTGCAGCTCATGCGGTTTTCCTTGCTCTCGTCATGCATGATGATGGTTCTGTAGTCAAGCAGGTTCTCCAAGAGGCTGCTGACCAGGAGGGCAAAGACTTCCCCGGAGCCTGAGAGGTATTTATGCTTCCGGCAATGTTCCAGAAGCCTGGAGAGGGAGGGAGAGAAATTTCCCACATTTCACGCACTTGCTCTGGCACTATCTGTGAGCACCAACCACAGTCCCCACAGCAGGGAGCACTAGACTTATGATACACACCCTGCTTATCCTGGGACTTTCAACTGGGCCAGACCTGTTTTCTCAAGTTCTCTCTCTTCGGGACCCAGTCACCATCCACTATCACTTGGAATCCTAGCTCACAGCAGCCTCTGAACATCAATTGGTTTGTGGATTCCCCAGCAGATGTACAAATGAGAACCTTTGCTCACAAGGTTCGTGCATCCTCACAGTTCTAACCCGTCTACATGAGAATGCCCTTCCTGTGTCTTTATTCTCTCTAAGGCCTGGCATTGCATGGACATTCTAGAAAGTCTCAGGTGGATGCCCAGCCCAGAGGAACCTGGCAGACATCTTTGTGAGTGACACTTCAGGTAAATGCATTTTCAGATAGAAATGCAGCACTCTAGACAGGCAGACTGATCTAGATCTCCCTTTTGGGGGGTGGGTCATAGAAAGCAAAATTCTGGGGCTTCTTGGACAAGTAAAAGAAAACTTCAGAAATGGAGAAAAAAGAAAGGAAACAGGGGCTAAAGAATCTGCCCAGAGTCTAGGAGCATACTTGTGTAGATTTGTGAAGTTGTGTTGTCTGAGCCAGTGATCCAGAAACGACAAAGAAAACAGAAAGACCTTTCCAGGAAAAATAAGCCGTAGGGATCTTTTAAATGAGTAACTTATCTTATGTATCTATTATGCATGTGTATAGGTATGTGTGTTTGTGTATGTGTGTATGTATGTTTATGCATGTATACATGTGTATGTGTATATAGAGTCTGGGTGTGTGTGTCTGCAGAACCAGAAAGTGAATCTAGGGCCTTGAGTATCTAGGCAAGTACTCTACTACAGACTGAGCTACATCCTCAAATCTTAGGTGTGTTTCTTTCTATCTGTGCATAACTTCTCTGCTTAACTCAGATTAATCCAGTATTTCAAAAGTCATAAACTAGAACGCTGGGCGGTGGTGGTGCGCGCTTTTAATCCCAGACCTCGGGAGGCAGAGGCAGGATGATCTCTATGAGATTAAGGCCAGCCTGGTCCACATAATGACTTCCAGGTGAGCTGGGACTAAGGAAACCCTGTCAAACAAACAAAAACAACAAAAAGTTATAAGTTAGGATGGTTTGAAGGTCAAACAGAGACCTAATGGAAAAATGATAAAATGATCACCAAAAGGGCTATCATTAGTAACAAAATGCAGAAGATTTCTAGCTCCTTAAAACCGGGCCTGTTCGGAGCTGGAGAGATGGCTCAGTGGTTAAGACCACTGACTGCTCTTGCAGAGGACCTGGGTTTGATTCCCAGCACCCACATGGTAGCTATGAACCATCCTTAACTCCAGTTCCAGGGGAATCCGACGCCCTCTTCTGACCTCTGCAGCACCATAGAACATGGGTGCGCTCACATATATGCAGGCAATATGCTCATACACATAAAATAAAAGTAATAAATAAAATATATTTTTTTAAAATTGGGCCTGTTCTTCAACTCCACTCAGCTGGTAGGGGTTGAATGTGCTGGCTCCTCCTTGGAGACTCTTTTAAGCTCACGGTCAGGCTGGTTCACAAAACTGCCCCAGAACAGGAGAATAATAAAATGATGGAGCAGAGACAGGAAAAGAGATGCAGAGGGTCAATGGTAGCCAAGTTCAGAGAACACAAGAAATGAATGCGTAAGGTGTTCTCGGCCCGGAACAATGGAAAGATCAGATAATAATAAGCTAACTCCCCCCACCCCAGTTTTGGGGGCTCTTTTTGAGACAGGGTCTCCCTGTTGACCTGGCTATGTAGACCAGGCTGGCCTTGAAAACAGAGAGATCCTCCTGTCTCTGCCGCCAGAGTGGTGGGATAAAACGTGTGCACCATCACACCCAGCTTCCCCCGCCCCTCATTTGTGTGTGTGTGTGTGGGGGTATGTATATATTTTTACATGTGTGGGTGGGTACCTTTGCATGTGTGTGAGGCCTGAGGTCCTGATGGCAAGAACCAACCTCAATTGCTCTTTCACTTTATTCACTGAGGCAGGGTCTCTCAATCAAACCTACAGCTCACCAATTTGGCAAGTCCTGCTAGCCAGCTTGCTCCTGTGATCCCCTGACTCTACCTGCCCAGGGCTGAGATTACAGGTGGGCTACTACCCGGCATGTATGTGGGTTCTGGGGATCCAAATTCTGGTCCTTCCACTTGTGTGGCAAGCACCTTTACAAATGAGCCATCTCCCCAGCCCTGCAGTTAGCCTTTGTAAAGTGTGAACTCTGCAATGAACACTATGTTGACACACTGTCTCATTTAATCTAACAACAATACTAAAAAGTAGATACTATTCTCATAAATGAGAAACAAGGGCAATATCTGGCAAGATGGCGCACTGGATCCAAAGTCAAACTCATAGCATGCAGTGAAAACAGAATTTAGAACTCAGTCTTGCCAGTGCCAACAGCCAAGGAGAGCGCCACTGAGTGTGTGGAGGCCGGACGGGGACAGTAGAGATAACGTGAGCTCAGATGAGGGCATGGATATCTGCGTGGAGTGGAAAGACCAAGTTGGTGGGAGAGAGAACCACTTTGTTACTAGAACTCCTTTACAGAGCCTGAGGTATTTTTAAATATAAAGTTGACCTTGAAATGTTTTCCTTTTAAATGACTGCTTTGAAGCTGTAATTAGAAGTGCCAGTACTTTTGCTAAAGTTCCGAATTCAGACACTGGGCAGGATGCCACCATTTGGTGTGTTCCCTCGTCTCCTTCATCTGCTCTGTTCTCCAGGTTGGCCAGAAAAACCTGGGGTGGACTCACATTGGATAAGCACTACAATCAGCAGCATAAATTCCATCCGCACCACCGAGGACCACTGTGGGGGGCGGGGAGTGATTCTGAGGCTGCTGACTGCTGGGTGGGCAGCTGAAGCTCAGCTGTTCTCCACGCCAAATGACACCACTGGCTTAAGGTGTTTCTGAGATACTCACAGCTTTTCCAGAAGGACCTTATATTGCTCATCTCCTCGGCCCCCTTCCACCTCTTGATCCAGCTTGGTGATCAACTCATTCTCAAACTGAAAGAAAAGACAGTTTCACAGGAGAATGTTGAAAACCTAGAAGAATGTGTACAACACACGTGGCCAGTCTGTGTAGATCGGGTTTAACCCCTTTAGCAAATTGGGAATTGTTTTCAACACAGATGGGGGCTGTCCTACAGCACACTACTTATAAGTACCACACCATGGCCCTGTCAAAACATTCTGAAGCAGTCTAGTATATTTGTCCTTGGCTGGACATTAGCAAAAACACCTGAAATGCTACTTTATAATTATGCATCTAAAAACAGATTAATAATTCTTCTGCTCCTCCTCCTGCCCTGTCTGTATTCGACACACTGTTTTGCTATGTATTACTGGTTGGTCTAGAATCCAAGCAATCCACCTGCCTCAGTACTATACTGAGCTTTAATGCTATTTTTGTGTCTTGTCTAAGTTTTGGTGATGCGATTGCTTTTGCTGAGCTTCATAGCTGCAAAACCTTCCTTTCGGTATGAATAGGTTTATAGGTGTGATGGTTAAACTCAGTTGTTAATTTGGCTGTTTCTGGGATGCACTAAGAGACAGGCCTCTGGGAAGGTTTGTGAAGGTATTTCCTATAAGGGGTAACTAAGGGAGGAAGACTCTCCCCGAGTGGTCAGCACCTTCTGGCAGTAACCCAGATGTAAAACTGTTTTAGGGGGGCAGGGGGGTGTGTGGAGAGATGGCTCAGTGGTTAAGAGCACCAACGGCTCTCTCAGAGGACCTGGGTTTGATTCCCAGCACCCACATGGCGGCTAACAACTGTCCATAGCTCCAGTTCCAGGGGATCTGACACCTTCTTCTGTCCTCCACAGGCATTGTATGACATAGGTGCACTTACACACATACAGGCAATACACTCATACACATAAAAATAAAACAGTTATCGCTGGGTGTGGTGGCGCACACCTTTAATCCCAGCACTTGGGAGGCAGAGGCAGGTGGGTCTTTGTGAGTTCGAGGCCAGCCTGGTCTACATAGTGAGTTCCAAGACAGCTGGGGCTATAAGGAGACCCTGTCTCAAAAAGACGACAAAAAAGAACTGGCTTGGCCTTGTCTGCCCACCTTCCCTATATAGGAGAGGCTAGGCATTCGCTCTGCCTCCTTGTTTTAACCCATAGAAAGAGCCAAAATGAAGATAATCTATAAATAAATAAATAAATAAATAAATAAATAAGAGAGAGAGAGAGAGAGAGAGAGAAAGAAGAAAGAAAAACTGTGTGAGGGAAGAGCAGTGCTCTTTGCCTGCCCAACTCTGCTCCTGATGGCTAGTGCCTCTACCCTCTTGCTGCTGTTCAGATGCCAGGTTCTTCGGTCTTCCAAATTGGACTGAAGACCAGAGGTTCTCCAGAACTCCTCCAGGCCATCAGCACCAGTGTTGAGGTGTCCGGTTTTATGGGCCAAGCAGCTACCAGGTCCTCAGCCTCTCCAGCATGCAGACAGCCACTGTACTACCCAGCTGATCTAATGAACGTTCTTTGAGGAACATATTTGTGCTATGCATTCCGTCCCTCTAAACCCTGACTAAGGCAGTGGGTAAGTGAAGGGAGGCCTAGAAGACGCAGGCAAACTAAAATTCTCAACAGTAATGAATGGGTGCAGGATCCACTGTGCCTCTCCCTCGGCTGGCCTACAGCAAGACAGGTTACACCCTTCAAATCCCTGCAGCAGGGTAAAGAGGAACCCATTCAGTTTTTTACCTTCTGAGTCAGACCGGCCTCGGGAAGGACATGGGGAACAGATTCCTCCTAGGCTCAGGCCACAAGGCCTGATGATGTGTCTAATTCTTATACATAAAAAGGGAGTTTTAGAAGGACTCTGATTTTCCATTCAGGGTACTGCTTTTACCCGTAGAGAGAAGATAAGCAAGACCTAAGCGTTATGAGGTTAGAGAGGTCCCAGAATCTGCCACTTCTTACCATATGGAAATTGCCATTGCCACTGAAATTGAACTCACACTGCATCATATCAAAGAAAATGGGGATTGTGGCTTTCCGGAGCTCCACTTCAGGGGTCAGAGTGACCTCCAGAATGGGACCCACCATAGATGGGATGAATTTGATTTTGTGAGGACCTGAAATGAAAGTAAATGAGGGTATTAGAAAAATCAGGTCATGGGAAACCATTATACCCTTTCTTCACAGGGTCCGTAAGAGCAGAAAAAGTTTACATGGATAAACCATCTCAATTCAGGAGTGACAGATGCTGCATTCTGATAACATGTGGATGACATGATACAAAGGGTTCGCTGTCAACGTCCCAGGAGGAAGGGTGTGGGGCCACAGAGCAACCTTATTTCTGGATATCCATACTGACAAATCTTGGGGTTATTTCAATTAAAAGAAGGAGCCATCATGGGTGTGTCTTTTTAATGAAACTTATGCTCATAAATCTTACTTTAGAACAAAAACTAAAGAATTCACCGAGGGATGCTTATTTCAAGGAGTTGGGCTGGGGCCTATTCAAGGGCAGACACTCACCCAGGTTGTACCACATGTCCCGGATCCTAAAGCCGATTTCCTTTCTCATGTCCCCATATCTAGAAAGAAGAGCAGAAGTTGAGAAAAGGAAACAAGTCACATGCAATACAGTTGTCCCTCGGATCTGCAAAGGACTGGCTCCAGGATCCCCTGTCTGAGGACACTTGAATTGCAGGTGCGCATGGCCCTTACAAAGAACAGCTTAGGATTTGCATCGCTTAGATGACTCAGGATACTCAATACAAAGGCCTGGAGATGCCACTTAGTGGCAGAACATTTGCCTTCCATGTGCAAGGCTCTGAGTTTGATTTCTAGAACTAAAGAGAAGAGGCAGAGGTAGTGGAGGATTGCTACAAAACTGTGTTTTCCAGATATGACAGGGCCATTGCACACATGAACACACAGTTGTTCTGACTAGACGCAGAAGGATGGTGGATGGGCTCACAAAGTTCCACCCCTAGCTGCAAGGCTAGTGGCAGTTGATGGCTGCTGGGAGGAGGAGCGTGTCAGTTTGCTGAAAGGCTTCCCTATTCCATTGGATGGCCCAACACCCATACACAGTGACAGCACAAAGTGGACTCAGTGGGTTTGAAAAAGAGCACATGATGGGGCTGGAGAGACGGCTCAGGCGTTAAGAGCACTGGCTGCTCGTTCAGAGGACCTGGGTTCAGTTCCCAGCACCCACATGGAGGCTAATAATCTTCCGTAACTCCACTTCCAGAGGATGACACGGGTGCACACACACACATGCAGACAATACACTCATACACATAAAAATAAAAATAATAAATAAAATATTTAAAAACATTTCTACTGATTTGAGAATTTCATACAATGCATTTTGATCATATTCAGATCACTCTACACCCTCTACCCCCTCACCTTACCAGCCCCCCCGACACACTCTATTATTTGTCTTTTTACAGAAAGCCTGTTGAGTCTAATCTATGTTTTCTAAATGCTCTTGGGTGTGAGTCTATTCCTTGGAGTCTAGTCAACCTATGGGGCAATAACTAGTATTTTTTATTTTAAGACAAAGTCTCATGTAGCCCAGGCTGGTATGCAACTTGCTATGCCACCAAGGTTGCCCTTGAACTACTGATTCTCTTGCCTCCTCTTCCTGAGTGTTGGGTTTATAACCTTGCATCACCACACCCAACTTCATGTGTTCTATCTTTTTTTTTTTTTCCATTTGTAGTCAACTAACTTCACTTATGCTTGTTAAACCAAACTTCTCTGATAAAGAAGTTCTATTGCTACTGGAAACCTATAAAGCAGGTTAGACATTTTATCTTTTAAAGCAGTCACTAAACCTTACTGAACCTATCTGTTGTAAAGGAGCTCTGTGGTGTCTGTGACCATGGATGCATGGTTATCAATCTTATGTTGTTTAGGGGGGAACCACAGGTAGAAGAATATTATGTAATTTGCCTAGCATATCACATACCACAGCAAGGGGTCATAGAACTAAAATGCCAAGTTAACTTTCAATTTTCTTTGAGTTTCCAGGCTCTAGATGAACTCTGAAACAGGCCTGAGAGGAATGTAGGGAAACATGTTCCCACATCTCACATCTGAACATAGTTCCATTTGAATCCCAAGCCAGGAATCGGGAGAGCATTTTTAGGTTATGTTGGAGACTTGGTATTTGTGCTACAGTAACAGAGAGGTAGATGACTGGGCCCAAAGAGTAGGCTTTGCAAAACTTAAGGAGGCTCTATGCCTGCAATTTTGATGAGCTGCCAGGGGATGGCAGGGGATCCTGGGCAAGCGCATGAAGGTACAGCCTCCATGAAAAACATGGGTGACGCTAGAGATGGCTCAGCAGTTAAGAGCACTGCCCGCTCTTGCAGAAGACTTGGGTTTGGTTCCCAGTACCCACATGGCAGCTAACAACCATGCATAACTCCAGTTCCAGGGGATCTGATGCCCTCTTATGGCCTCCACAGGCATTGCAAGCACATGCTGCGTTTAGGTACATGCAGACAAAGTAAATAAAATTTAAAAATATGGATGACTGATGAGGTGGTGGGGAAGGGAAGATCTGAGGTCTACTGAGTGATGAAGTATAAGACACCAGCAACACGAACAAGTCCCTGTGATTTCTGTGATACTCAAAATGTCACTGAAAACAGACCAGTTGGCCTCCCAGCCATCACCAAATCTTTAAAGGATACTTACTTTTTCAAAATTTTGTTGCGCTTGGCTTGTGAGAAGGTTTCAAGTTGAAGGGACTCATGGGTGAGAAATGCCACCGCCAAATGGAAGTAATTATTCCAGAGCTGTTTGGGAGTCATTGTGTAGGAAGAAAGAAATGGAAAAGAACATCAGTGAGGGCCAGAATAAAACAGACCCACATGCACGAGAGGCACTAGCTGGGGATTCACAAAAAATCCAAATGAAATCCACAGGACTTCTTGTACGTTTCTGGGGTTTCAATTACTCACTTCTGAATGTTTGAAGGTTAATATTAGGCTTTAAAAAATAATCCAAACTTTACATTTTTCTTTACTCAGGGGATAAAGGAGATGTGCTGCCAAGAATTATACCTATTTATAGCAGGTGGCTTGGCAATGCATATCAAAGTGCTAAGTTCTGCCAAACTTTGGAACTAGTAAATACTTTCAGGATTTTTTTTCTTGACAAAATAACTGTGGTTAGTTACACATATATAAAACCAAAGAAGGTCCTCACAGAGCTATTTAATGTAATGGAAAATGAAAACAGGCTAAATCTTCTTAAGAATTTAGTTAAATCATTCATGGCCAAGTCATGTGATAGACTGCAGTCAGCTGTTTAAAATATTATGAAACTACTTAACATCATTAGGAAAAAAAATCACAGGTTGTCAGAAGAAAAGTAAGGAAAGTAGACTAATGGTTTATCAAAAAGCAGCACGGCTCATTTCTATTTTGGCATATATTTATACACATATGACTACATATACATATGTGTATAATATATCTATTCATACAGATGAACATACATATTTATAACCTTCCCTAACTCTCCATAATAACAGTTCTACAGATAGAAAAAGCACATCACCAACTAAACACTGTCAGCAATGTAAACTCAGAGAGCTGGAACCTGGTAGACCTTCACCAGGGACCAGAAGAGCACTGAGTACATGCGAACACACTCCTATTGATTAGATGAAGGAATAAATGAAGATGAAGCTACTGGTTACCTGTTTTTCAGGTACTCAGTGTAATAATAGCAACAGTGTGCTTATGAACTGAACCCATCTGCTGTAGCAGAGCTATCTGGTCTCTGTCTGTAACCCTGCATGCATATGTATGTTCGCATATATGTACACAGGCTCGACATGAAGGTGCTAGCAATAAAAGAAAGGACTAGAGCAATCTCCCTTATCTGAGACTTTGCTTTCTGAAGTTTCAGTTATCTGCAGTCCACTGTGGTCTGAAAATATTAGCATTTATTTCACTGGACATCACATTCACACCAACTTTATTATCCTGCCATAATTGTTCTGCTTTCCCATTCCTGGTTGGTGTTAATCTCATACATGCCAGATGCATAAAGCGAGCGTTATCACAGGTGTCTATGCAAAGGAATACAGTGCCCATAGGTTCAGTACTGTCTGAGGTTGCGGGCGTCCTCTGGTGGTCCTGGACTGACTCTCAGAGGGTAAAGGAGACTATGGTATTTGTATTTTCTTTTTTTTATTTAGGTATATTTTCTATTATAGGTTGGCTCTTTCTGTTTACAGGTGTGTTGTTTTTTAAAATTATTTGTTTTTAAGTTTATTTTATTTATTATTTTTATTTTATGTGTAGGAGTGTATTGCCTGCATGTATGTGAGTGCACCTGTGTCGTGCAATGCCGCGGAGGTCAGAAGAGGGCTTTGGATTCCCCTGGAACTGGAGTTAAGGACGGTTTGTAGCCACCATGTGGGTGCTGGGAATCGAACACAGGTCCTCTGCTAGAGCAGTCAGCGCTCTTAACCGCTGACCCATCTCTCCAGCCCCTAATTTATTTTATGAGTGTTTTGCCTCCATATATGTAAGTGCACCTGTGTCATGCAGTGCCCACAGAGGCCAGAAGAGGGCATCAAATCCCCTGGAACTGGTGGTTGTTAGCTGCCATGTGGGTGCTGAGAACCAAACCCAGGCCCTCTGGAAGAGCAGCCAGTGATCTTAACCACTGAGCCATCTTTCCAGCCCCTGTGTTATTTTATATAATGAAAAAGAAAATACATTTTATTGTGTTTGGAGAACTGTTTCAAGAATGTGTGCTTTGGGAAATCTGAAAGCCTTTATTTGGCAGTGATAAAGCTTGAGGTACCACTTTCCTAAGTGAGATATTCTCTTCCTGTGGTTAAGAATTTGCCGGGCATGGTGGCGCGCGCCTGTAGTCCCAGCACTCAGGAGGTAGAGGCAGGTGGATCTCTGTGAGTTCAAGGCCAGCCTGGTCTACATGGTGAGTTCCAGGACAGCTGGGGTTACAGGGAGACCCTACTTCAAAAAGACCAAAAAATAAAATATAAAATAAAATAAATTCCAGAGACTTCCAGGTGGGTGGATAATTACCTGAAGTTCAAAGCTTGCCTGGTCCATGAAGCATCTCGTGAGAACTTCAGCAAACTGATTAATAGCACGGAGGAAAACCCTAGGGAGGAAGGCACAGATGAAGAAGGCAGCCCTGTGTCCTTGGAGATATTTCCCCACCTACTTCGGACATGAACCAAGGAACTGGCTAGGAAATGCAAGAGTACCTACCAGTGTCCTTAGAGGCCGTTCACAGCCAGTCTATGGAAGGAGCCACAGAAGCTCAGGGTCCCTGGCTGCCTGCCAGAGTCTCGGGTCTATAGCACAAGTTCCCTGAGGGTGGCACAGAAGCTACAAGCCCAGGCCACTGGAGCCCCCAGGCAGCTGTTCACTACAGGCCATTCTGCTACATACTACAGTATTTCCCTTTTACAGGTCAGGTTTTCAGGTACAGTTGTTCTCTAATCTCTACCTCGTTGGAAAAACTTTTGCTGATTGGGTATCAGGGCCATGGAGAGTAAATCATGTTTATTTTAATGATTTGGCTTATTTGACTCGTTAAGAAAATCCAAAAGCTATAATAAATATAATGTAATACAATATAATAATATAAAATGCAACATCATATATATTTAGTTCATTCCATGTCTACTCAACAAGTATTTAATCACTGGGCAACAATGCTAAGATACCATGGTGATATGCTCAAAAATATAATTCCCAGTCTTATGAACAGTGATGGATTCTTACCACTTATAAATGTAGTTATGTTCCAACAGAGAATGTGGGAAAAAATTCCATGACAGAGTTTCAAAGAGGTGTGAGAAATCAAAAGGAGGAAAAGATTAACATTCATATCAGGTTGGGACAGAAGGTCCCATTGGAGGGGTGTTTGGGAAGGGCCATGAGCAATGGAGTGGGGCTGAATACCAGAGATGAAAGAGAAGGCACAGCAGGCCACAGCAGCAAGTAAGTCAGAGAACGTGCCAGGAACCAGGAGCACGTCTGGTTGGCACACAGGTTACATGTATAGGGAAACTGTGGGAAGGAACTGCTGGAAAGACATCAGGATAAGGAGGCTGTGGAAACACTGGGACAGGGTATGGGGAGCTGACGTCGAGTGGATTAACAAGAGGATGATGAAGACACCAGCCCAGGAAAGCAGAGATGGCCAGTGGGAGCTCGGTGAAATGGAGGTCTCAAGCACACACATTAGGGTCGAAAAGAGGGAAGATCCTCATTTTACAGGTGAGAGGGTTTGAGGCAGGGGGATATAACAGCTTAAAGTCTGCACAGCTGACCAGGGTGTTAAAGGTCGAAGCCTCTGGATTGGCCATGGGTGATCTCACCTGCTCTGTGTCATGTTCATGACCATCCAATCTTTGGCATATACATTCTTTCCAATCAGATCCTTAAACATGATAAAGGTTTCCATTAGGAAGTCCTGTGGAGAGCAAAGGAGGAACAGTTGGGGAAACAGGCTCAAATAGCCTTTCTTTCAGCAGGTGAACAGAAGGCTCCCTATATCTAGATAACACAGTGCTGGGATATGGTATGACCTTTTCCATGAGGTTGATCATGAATTCTTCCTTTTATTTTTGGTCTTTTTGAGACAGGGTCTCCCTGTAGCCCCAGCTGGCCTGGATACAATGCATTCTTATATGTAACTATTGTGTGATTTGATTTATTTTGTTTTGGTATCATGAGACAGGATCTTGCTGTGGAACCCAAGCTGGCCTCCTGCTTCAGCCTCCCAAGTATTAGGATTGTAGGTGTTCAATACCACCCTTGGATTATGATTTTATTTTTTTGTACTGCACGACTTTATAAGGAAAATGGACATACAAAATTATCCACACTTTACATATGGTACCAAAAGGCCAAGAAAAGCTGAATGGTCACAGAAATGAGGAACCAGGAGAGGCAGGACAGAGATTGGGGAAGCTGGACCCCATGTTTACAGGCCTTATTTCTTCGGTCTTCTGCTGTTGCTGTGTGAATATGCACTTAAAAATAAGTGCTTGTGCCGGGCGTGGTGGTGCACCCCTTTAATCCCAGCGCTTGGGAGGCAGAGTCAGGCGGATCTCTGTGAGTTTGAAGCCAGCCTGGTCTACATAGTGAGTTCCAGGATAGCTGGGGCTACAGGGAGACCCTGTCTCAAAAAGACAAAAAATAAATAAATAAAAATAAAAATAAAAGTGCTTGCACTTAAAAATTAAAATCACCAACTTTTAACAGATAGGAGTTTATTTTTCTTGACTACAGTGAAAAGAAAATTGCCACACAAGCAGAAGGGTCATAATTCTTCCCTTTGCAGAAATGTTATCATATGTAGCCCAGAAAAAAGGGTCCTGAAAGGAGATGGTCATAGTGGCTTGTGAGGACTGTATTATTTATACAGGCACATAGAGCACAGGATAATAAAATGGCTAGTCTTGCCTAAAGGGGACTGTGAGCAAAAAGCAACTCAGAAATAGAATAGCCAGACTGAAAAACAAAACATACATGTCTTGAAATCATTTTTACTACTTAACTAAATTTAGACTTTTTCCACTGTGATCACTGAAAAGAAAATCCAGTTTGCTTTCTTGAACACTATCCCACATAGTCACACATTCAGAAGCATATCATGTAGTGCTAAGAACCCTGCACTGGAGAGACAGGATGCCTACACCTACCTGTCCATCCATCCATCCATCCATCCATCCATCCATCCATCCTTCCATCTATATCTGTCTGTCTATCTGTCTGTCTGTCTATCATCTATCTATCTATCTATCTATCTATCTATCTATCTATCTATCTATCTATCTATCTATCTATCTATCTATCTATCTATCTATCTATCTATCTATCTATCTATCTATCTATCTATCTATCTATCTATCTATCTATATCATCCATCTATCTATCTATCATCTATCTATCTATCTATCTATCTATCATTCAATCATCTATCTATCTATCTATCTATCTATCTATCTATCTATCTATCATCTATCTATCTGTCAATCATCCATTTGGAGACAGGGTCTCACATAGCCCAGGCTAGTATTGAACTTGCTATGTAGCTGAAGCTGTCCTCCCATCTCCACTTCCCCAGGGCTGGGATTACAGGTGGAACTCACGCCTGGCAGGACACCCATTTCTAATGTTTTTCTGAGCTGTTGGTTAGTCTATGAATAGATTCACTTTGGGTGCCCCATGGCACAGGATTGGGACAGGTTCTGGCCTGGAAGCCTTTCTGCCCTGGATTGGTCCTTCTGATTCAATAATAAATCAGACTCACTCATGTTTGGAATGTAGACATTTTCCATGAGTTTAGGATATTTTGAGTATACATTTAAAGTGCTTATTAACTATTCTGCTTACTTTTTTGCTCAAATCAACAACAACAAAATTACAGGTTGTGAGACAAGGATTAAATTGAGATGCCAGCAAGCTGCACCTGATAATTCCTTGATAGTCAACACTTGGTAATTTGAGTTAACAGATGGCATCTTCAAGCAGAGAATCCCAAGACCGCCCATTGTCCACTACAGACAAGGTTCCTATGGGGTTTATGCCTATGGCAGCAGGAATTGGGGCAGGACAGTCTCTGGGGAGGAAGAGGCCTCACTGCATACAATAGCTTTGCTCCTGGGGATTAGTGTCTCCATGACACCTCACTCCCCCAAGCATTAGCTCCTGCTTGGAGACAGAGACTTGGGGGAAAAGATCACCATGGTCTGCCACACAGGAGGGAAGGTTTTTCACTTCCTACTTAATTGTGGATCCAAACTGTCTGTCTGTGGATTCAGAATGTCCTACTTTACTTGCTTTCTGAAGGAAATTTGAAAGAAAAAAAATCACTAGGATATTTTAATGTTTTCTTACCAATGAATAATAGTAAAAGTATTATTATAAAAAGCTGCTTCTCACAGGCTTTGAATGCATGCATGGCACAAAGCTAGGCATTCTCCAGACACAGATTTAATTACCACTCATATTAATGCTCAAGGTTGACATGTTTACAGATGAGGGAAATGGTTTAATGACATCAAGTAGCTTCCTTCAAATTTCATTCAAGAAAGTGGAATACTCAAAATTCAAAACCTGTGTCATCTGCTACACCATCTGCCCCAGAGTTCACTCAACTACCTCAGTCCCCCCTCCAAGCCCTGCCCCCCGGCGCCACCCCCAATCTGTCCGGATTGTTTTGCATTGGTCACTACAGACACGGCCACATATGGCTGATTCCTGTACCATGCTGCCTCCCCTTGGGCTCACAGCTTAAGCCAAGTGAACCAACACTATGAGGGTCCATAAATGGACTAACAACACATTCTCTCCAATTTCCTGTCTTTGTCTATCACTTGGGCACTGCAGGAAAGGAAGACAGTGAGGGATGGAGTTGAATCTCCTTTGGTACACTGGCCACACGTGCTTGGCATAATACAGGTAGCAAGAGAGAATCTAGAGCATGGAGAAGACGTAACCGCACATGGATGGAAGAAGCCATCTGAGATCAGCTTGCCATCCAGCCCAGGCTGGGTCCACTGCTCAGCAAGATCAGAACTTGACAGACAGCTTACTTCCACTAAGAGTTCCCTGAAGGCCTTGGGTGATGCATGCTTTCAGTAACTATGACAACAATGTTCTGTTTAAAGCATCGGAGGGTGGCTTCCAAACACTGTAAGGGGCCGTGTGCGTGCATGCATGCATGCGTGTGTGTGTGTGTGTGTGTTCTTGTTTCCTCTGTAAAAGGAGGCTGCCTGCTGAGCACATTCTGAAGAACTGTTATACATGGTCAAGAAGATTATTCCATGCCAAGGCCCAAGGAACAAGCGTTTCCTTACACGAGACATTATCCTCTTGGCAGGGCAAGAAGATACTCCAAATGTTTCTAAACAAGGGCCCTCACTTGTCCAAGAGCGACGATCGTTTGGAGAATGAACTGACCTCTTCTTTAAATTCTATCAAGGGGAAAGTAAGAATTAGCTGTCTGTGGACAGCACGTCATACTGCAGATGGTTGGGAAAGAAAATCTTAGACTCAAGATGCTCAGTTTCAGTTACTGTTCGCTAAATACGATCCATCTTCAGAGGAGCCTGGTGGTGCTCAGGAGATGAGGCAGGAGGATCATGGGAGCTTGAGGTCAGTCTGGGCTACGAGGCAAGACTTGTCTCAAAAACGACAACAACAGCAACAACAGCAAGAGCTTTTGCGTTACCAGCACCCAGAGCAGACAACTTACGATGATGTCCTGTTTGGTTTTGAAGGTGCTGATGTAGTGGCTGTAGTGACTGTCTTCCATTTGTCGTAAGATGGCAATCATACAAGCCACGAAGCTGCCCTGGAAGAGAAAAGCAGCACAGATTCAAGGTTCCACAGACAAACGGATGAAACAGACATCATGAGATGTCATGCATTTGGCGTTTTCTACTCAGGAAGCTCTGCAGGGACCCTCAGAACTGGAAACTCACTTCCTCCCAAAGGCCCAAAGTTATTTCTGCTTTAAGTACCTACTAGTGTGAGTCAGGAAACCTGGCTGTGACTTTGGAATTCTCTTGGTCTAGGGATAGTAAGATTACCAGTTAAGGTAAACTAGCTTGTGGCTTTTGAGTTTCTCATGGGGACAGAGTTGTAGTGGAAAAGTTCATGGAGCAACATCTGACATACTTAGATGAGCCAAATCTGAATGTAGAGGAAGGTCAGGAAGAAAAAGAAAGGTGCCGGTCGAGCATCCGTAATGGAAAATCTGAAATGCTCTGAGATTTAGACTTTTGAAGCATTTTGGATTTTTTGGATTGTGGATGATCAACCAGTAAGGTTTATGCAAATAGTCTAAAACATAAAAATCTCCCTAATCTAAATACCTTGGTCTCAAGTATCCCTGAAAAGGGATGCTTAACCTGCAGCAGTGTTGGGAGGGCAAAGGGTGGGGAGGACAGGAAACGTTAATTCTCTCACTAGAACCCTGCATGCCATTTCTTTGACTCTAGAACACTTTAGCCAGTGACCCTTAGTCTGTGAATCATATGGAACTCTGTGCCTGTCTCAAAGAAGACAGATAACTATGTGATAATTGCAATTTCTACTTGTGAAGTTGAGAGCTTACACTCTGGGTGTTCTTCCCTTTACACAAACTTGAGTCGAAGACTTCCTTTTTGAGTTAGAGGACAAACATCTGGGGTACCACCCTTTCGTACTCTTGCAGATACAAATGCCACATGAATTTAAATGAACTTGGCACAGAGGAGCCAAGGTACAACTACTCTTAGGAGGGTGGGCATACTTCCAAACAGCAAGGAGAGACCCCTTATTTCTAAACGGATGCTTGCCTTATTTGCTTTCCTTAAAATGGTTATTTTTTCCTACCAATAAGGCAATGTAAATTGATTATACTAAGGCTTTTGACATATTTTACAATTATCATAAACTTGTATTTACACCACAATCAAAAGCTATTTGTTTCTGTGGGCTCTTGCCTATGCTGGATTTTTAATTTAATTTCACCTTCTTTAATTTGCATTGCATTTGTTCTGAATTAACCATTCAATCCATATAGTTTAGGTCCAGTTTTGTTTTGTTTTTCATTTTGTTTTTTATTCATATTGTTTTTTGAGACAGGGTCTCATGTAGCCCAGGCTAACTTCCAATTCCCTATATAATAGAGGATAACCTTGAACTTTAGATCTTCCTGTCCCCAATTCCTGAGTGCTGAGATACAGGTGTGCATAGCCTTGGTTCATGTGGTGCTGGGGTTCAAACCCAGGGTCTTGTGTAGACCAAGAAGCACTCTGCCCATTAAGCTACATCGTAGTCTTTCTGTTCACATTCTGTACTTATTTTTCTATTAAAGTTTTATCTACTTAGCAGCAGCTTATAGTAGTATATATTAAGGCTATTAGCTCCTAGTACGTGTGATAACTAATTTTACAATTTGGTGCATGACCTTGATTTCACATATTTATTTTCAAATACAGGGATTTAAATTTTCATCACGCAGAATCTTTTTTTTAATACTTTGAAATTCAAGAATCCCTTTTCTTATAAGATCAGATACATAACCCTTCCCTTTATACTGTCCCCAGCTGCTCTGTGACTTAATATTTTAACACAGAACCCTTCATTTCATTTGACATTTATCTTGAAGGTATAGCACAAAATCAAAGTCAAATTCAATTTTTCCCCAAATTGTTAATTCACTTTTCAAATTATATTAAATCAAAAATCTTGTTTCTTTACTGAAAAGGGAATTTTCATATAATTGTTCTGCCTTTAAATTCCCTCAGTTCTGTTTTATTATGTGTATATACATTCATATATATATATACATATATATACACACCATTGCATGCATCTACTATGATTTTAGTTATTTTCCAATGTGACAAGTGAGCCTTCCATTATTACATGTACTCGGCTGTTCATTTATCTGTATCTCACTTATTATTTCTGTGGCGCAGTGAATCAGAATTCTCTTTTAACTCCCTAAATAGCTGCCTGTTTTATGGAAAGACCACTGAACATGTTTATTTCTAAACCCGCTACTTAGTAAAGTTTTCATTAGTTCTACTAACTTTTCTGTCGACCTTCCTGTTTCAAAGAAATGCTGGTCATTTCAGCTATAAATAGTGACAATTACTATCAGTTTTGCTTTTTTCAATACCTTAAGATGTACCTTATTACATGAGCAAACAGTGTTGAGATTGAGCATCTTGATTCTCCATTTTAGGGCCACTGAGTTTTATGACACCTAGTGATTTTACTTTAGAAATATTTGGTCGGGGTTGAGACAAGGTCTCTCTTTTGCCCCAGTTGGCCTGGAACTCACTATGTAGACCAGGCTGACCTCAATCTCACAGAGGCCTGCTTCTGCCTCTCAAGTGCTAGGATTAAAGATGTGCACCATCATGCCCAGCTTCCACTTTAGAAATCTTTTTGCCTCTTCTTTACTTTGTTTACTATTTTGTGTCCACATGTATGTATCATGGCACACTTGTGAAGGTCAGAGGAAATTTTTGGGAGTCTGTACTCTCCATCTACTATGTGGGTCCCAGAGATCAAACTCATTTATTATCAGGTTTGACAGCACGTTTACCTGCTGAGCCATCTGGATAGCCCATGAGTTAGCATTTCTTTGCCAAAAATTCTACTGCTCTGAGGGTAAGAGCCTTGACTTCACAGGAAGAAACCTTCATTTTCAGAGAGGATGCCTTCCTGTAGGAACACTTACCTCTCAGATTCGAGATCCAGGGGTGTCCTACCTAATCCTTCTATGCAAGACCTGAACCCTTCTACACTACCTTTTGGAATAGATTGGGCTTCAAACCATTAGAGATGTTTAGCAACACTTGTATTCTCACTGGATTCAGTTCTCTCTCCTGCGATTCTTCACGGCACCCTGTAGGGTTTCTGCCCCAGCAGGGCTCTTCGTAAGAGCCCCTCCCTGATTCCTCCTGACGGCTCCTTCATGGTTCTGTCCAAATTCTACCTTCTTGGGGGAAGCTATTTGTAAGCACCTTATTTAAATCAATGACTCCTCACTCTCACTTTTGCTTATTCTGGTGGATGCCTTTGTCCAAGCACCTGTCTCCATCTAACAGGCACATGTGCTTTACTCTGTCACGACTCTTCCTACTAGAAGGTCAGTTTCCCAAAGGCAGTGAGTGTTGTGTCTATTTTGTTCACAGGAGCATCTCAATAGTTTCATATTTGTTGAACAGATGAATGCTTTTTACCTATGACAGAAATTTAAGAGCAGCGTTTTTGTCCTTTGTCCTTGTCATGTGCTGTTTAGACTTTTATGTTTGTTTTGAGACAGGGTCTCCCTGTAGTCCTGGCTGGCCTGGAACTCACTATATAGACCAGGCTAGCCTTGATCTCACAGAGATCCGCCTGCCTCTGCCTCCTGAGTATTGGGATTAAAGGCATGCACCACCATACCCAGCTGCTGTTTAAGCTTGTTGAAAGCAGACTCTGAGATGGAGGAGGTCCAGCATGTTTACTTCAAGTGTTCTCCGAAACATGTTTTCCTGGGGCGGGCTGGTTCCCTAGCTCAGGGAAAAGGAAAACAGCAAGCAGCTAAGGGTATTGAAAACATTGTGTCCTTGGGTAGTGAAATGGCTCAGCAGGTAAAAGTGCTTACTGCCAAGCTTGATGACCTCAGTGCACTCCTTGGGACCCACATGGTAGAAAGAGAGGACTAACTCCCACAAGCTGTCCTCTGACTTTCCACACATCCATGATGACATACATGTGTTCCCCTGTACTTGCACATATACACGCACAGCATAAATAAATGTAATTTTAAAAAGAAACATGACTTCTTAAGACCAGCTAGAAGAGGGGGCGGGAGAGATGGCTCAGTGAACACTTGCTGTTCTATCAGAGGACCGGCTAGCCTTGATCTGCACCCCACATGGTGACTAACAACCATCTGTAACTCCAGTTCCAGAGGATCCAACACCCTTCTCTGGTCTCTATGGGCACTGCATGCATGTGGTACACTTACATACACACAAGCAAATCAGGCATACACATAAAATATATTTTTTCAAAAAAAGGACAACTAGGGGCTGGAGAGATGGCTCAGCGGTTAAGAACACTGACTGTTCTTGCAGAAGACCCGGATTCGAATCCCAGCACCCACATGGCAGCTAGCGACTGTCTGTAACTCCAGTTCCAGGAATGCCAACAGCATCTTCTGTCTTCCGCGGGCATTGCACGACACGGGTGCACTTACCTATATGCTGGCAATATACCTGTCTCCCCCCCCCTCCCCCTTCTGCTTTCATCACACACACACACACACACACACACACACACACACACACACACACACACAGCTAGAAGGCAAACTATTTCCAAGAGAGATTAATACCGTTTATCCCGTGACACAGAAATTCCTACAGTGGGAATAGGAGGCCAGTAGTTCAGCCATGGGAAGATCATCCATGGCGACAGCTCAATCAAGAACTCTGGCTGCCTGCTTCAACTTCCTCAGTTGATTTCTGCTGGATGTTCTAAGACCCTGATTTGATGATGTTGTCTTGGTTGCTGTCTTAATCTGGCTACTCCAGTCATCTCTGCCAGATGGCTATGGTAAACTGGTGTGATGATGTCTGTGTGCCTGCTGCTTCTATCTGCCTCCTGCTATCTACTTTTTTACTTCTGCTTGTTGTAGTCTTAAGACACTCCTTCAAAACGGAAAATATGCCATCAAAGATCCTTCTTTGAACTGTACAGAAAGGTCCTCTAATTAAAATCTAACTTCACCTTTTGGTGCAGTCAGTAAATTGCTAATTTTAATGATGAACAATCTGCAGTTACCTCTGCTGTCAGTTACACTCTTTACTGACAACTATCTGACATAGTGGACGGACCGGGAGGCCAGATCAACACTGGGCTTTCTAAAAGCACACTAAACACAAATTCTTTAAGACATTCATTTTTTTTCCCTTGAACTTTAAAAGGGCCTGGTGGTTCTACTGAGGACCATCCAACCTGGGGCAGAAAGCTCACGAGGGAGCTGACACCTGCTTGGAGTTATAACTGAAGACTGTGATGTGATGGGACCACTTGAGCTCAGTGTCCAGACACTAGTCCCCACAGGCAGATGGAACACAGGGAGATCGGGCGCCTGAGTGTGGGCCACTGAGTGACACTCACGATGTGAGGAGACTGCCGGCTCATCCCAATCACCGTCCGGTTGATCCTTCTCAACAGCCGTTCCATGATCCGCAATACATGTGTTGAAGTGGGGCCCTGCAGGGGAACAGAGCTGTGACACACACTTCTGACTCAGCTCGTCTCCACACAGGGAAGACCTACACAGAGGGGCCTCTCTTAAGACCTCATCCTGGCTTTTTCCCTTAAGCAATCTCTTCCTCCAAAGGGGAAGATGGGGTCACAGAGGGATATATAACTTCCCAAAGAAAATCAGTTGAGAGAAGTTCTATCATTTAAAATATGATAGGCTGGGAATGTAGCTCAGTTGGTTGAATGCTTGCCTAGTGTTTAAAAATGAACGTGGCAGGGCATGGTGGGGTGTGTATGCCTTGAATCCCAGCACTTAGTAGGCAGAGGCATGTAGATTTTTTTGACTCTGAGGCCAGTCTGGTCTACATAGAGAGTTCTATGCCAGCCAGTGAGACCCTGCCTCAAGAGAAAAAGAGAAAATTGAGGGAGGGAGGGAGGGAGGGAGGGAGGGAGGGAAGGAGGGAGGGAGGGAGGAAGGAAGGAAGATGCTGCGTATGTAGAGAGAGATGAAGGCGGTCCTAAAAACCCAGGGGGTTCTCAGGCTGGAGAGATGGCTTAGCTGTTAAGAATACTGGTTGTTCTTGAAGAAGACCCAGGTTCGAATCCCAGCACCCACATGGCAGCTAACAGCTGTCCTAACTCCAGTCCCAGGGGATCCAACAGCCTCTTCTGACCTCCATGGGGCATTGCACAAGATAGGTGCACTTACCTACATGCAGGCAATACACGCATATACAAAAAATAAAAATAATAAAAAAACATTTAAAAAAAACCCAGGGAGTTCTCTAAGTTCACTGCCGTTGAAGACAGCTTGGGGTACCCCACTGGCACACAGTGCCCAGCTCTGAGATGAGCGATCCCCAGGACAAGCAGGCACACACAAAAAGTGAAAGGAAAAACAAAGCTCTTGCTGTTTCTGTGCGGGGTGAAAAAGCAAAATGGTTTGACCCCTTGACCCCGTCTAAATAGAAATACTGAAGCCTGAACACCCAATGGAATTGGCAGATATCTTGGAGACGATTAGGGTTAGAGGAGATCATGAGGATGGGGTCCCAGTCTTTTCCTTACTGGAAAAGACACCATGGGCTGTGCACTCGCTCTCAGATGCACTCTCTGTCTCTTGCTTCATGTATTCATGGAGGAGAGACCACGCGAGCACACAGGGAGAAGGTGGCCAACCACAAGCCAGAGCTCAACCAAGCTGGTCTGACCTTAGACTTCCAGACTCCAGAGCTGTGAGGAAGTAAGGTTTTCGTGTTTAAACTCCACAGTCTGTGGTGTGTTGCAGTAGATGGGACAGGCTAATACAGGAATTTAATAATCTGTCACATGTGACTTTAAGCCATCACTCTAATTCTCTGAGATTTGTTTTAACAGCTGCAAAAGAAGGAAGGGAATAGTTTTCTTACAGGGCCCAACTGGACTGATGGGCACGAGAGCGCCTGATGGATGCACATTCTTTCTCTCCTTTCTCCTTCTCTACTCACTCAGCTCCGAGAGTCGGGAGTCAGCTTCACCTCCCTGAGCCTTTACCCATTCTTGCTTCATGATGGCTGTGTCAGCACTCCTGCTAAGGCTTCAGATAACTGAATCATTGCTATTTGTTTTCTTTGGGCTCACTGAATGTTTTAATATAGTACACGCCTTTAATCCTTGAACTCAGGAGGCAGAGGCAGGTGGATCTCTATGAGTTCAAGGCCAGCCTGGTCTACATAGGGAGTTCCAGGACAGCTGGGGCTACAGGGAGACCCTGTCTCAAAAAGACCAAACAAAACAAAACAAAACAAAACAAACAAACAAACAAACAAACAAAAAACAACCCCCCAAAAAGCCCATTTAACTAGGAGCTGGAGAGGCTGCTCAGTGGTGAGGATCATTTGCTACTTTTCCAGAGGACCCAAGTTCAGTTCCCAGCATCCACATGGTGGCACACAACTGCCTGTAACTCCAGTTCTAAGGGATCTGCTGCCCTCTTCTGGCCTCTGCACCAAGAACACACAGGGTACACTTACATATATGTAGGTAGACATACACATAAAATGAAAATGAATGACTCTCTAAAAAACACTTTACCAGAAAAATTGTATATAATCAATATACACCAACTGATGATCTTCATATATGCATACACTTGTGAAAACTCCTGTAATCAAATTAATTAACACATCTAGACCATGTGTGCTCTACATTTCCAAAACTAGTTTGTATGACAGTCTGTGTTCTGTGAAATTCTTCCCAACCACTAATCTAGTCTCTGCCTATGTGCCTTCAACTTTTTAAGCTATTTATATGATACTGTCATACTTTTCTACTCCTATACATATTATTATTTCTTTTTTAATTTTAAAAAATATTTTATTTATTATTTTTATTTTATGTGTATGCATGTATTGCCTGCATGTAGGTAAGTGCACCTGTGTTGTGCAATGCCAGGAGAGGACAAAAGCGGCCGTCAGATCCCCTGGAACTGGAGTTACAGACAGTTGTTAGCTGCCATGTGGGTGCTGGGATTTGAACCTGGGTTTTCTGCAAGAACAACCAGTGTTCTTAACAGCTGAGCCATCCCACCTGGCCCTTTTTAAATTTTTTTTTTAAAAAGGAATTTACTATTTTTGTTTTTTGAGTCAAGGTCTCGTCATGTAGCCCAGGCTGGCCTGAAACTTACTATATAGACCAGGCTGGCCTCAAACTCCCAGAGATCTACCTGCCTCTGCCTCCCAAGTGCTAGGATTAAAGGTGTGTACCACCACGCCCAGCTTTTTGTTTGTTTTTGAAGCTTTTTATTTTTATTTATGTGTATGTGTATGAGTGTGTGTATACCACATATGCATGGGTGCCTGAGGACGCTAGAAGACAGCATTAGATCCCCTGGAGCTGCATTTATCCCCTGGAGCTGCATCCCCTGGAGCTGCATTAGATCCCCTGGAGCTGCATTTATCCCCTGGAGCTGCATCCCCTGGAGCTGCATTAGATCCCCTGGAGCTGCATTTATCCCCTGGAGCTGCATTAGATCCCCTGTGAACTGCCTGATGTAGGTGCTGAGAACTGAGCTCTGGCCCTCTGCAAGAGCAGCAAGTGCTTTTAATTGCTGAGCCATTTCTCCAACCTCTATTTCTTATTTTTTCGATAGGGTCTCATGTAGGCCAGGCTGGCCTGGAATTCATTATATAGCTGAGGATGACTCTGATCTTCTGATCCTCCTCCTTCCCTCTCCTAAGTGCTGGAATTACATTTGTGCACTACCACAACTGGCTACTATGTATTTTTATATTAAGTAAAGTAACTTCTGCTTGTCCATCTTTCCTTCCCAGCTCCCTTCCCATTCCTTTCTCAGAGTGAAAGTGATATATAAAACCTACCTCCCTGGGAGACACTGGCTTCACTGCCTTGGAGGATGTATCCCTTAAGGTAGATGAGACTAGGTAGGGGGTGGGGGGGAGTTAGCATGAGAAAAGTTCCTCAAAGTCCAGATTTACATCCAAGGGGATGTGGGTATGAATGTTACACACACTGCACAGGGCCCAGCACTGGGCCAGCTCCTGAGGCACTGTGTCGACACTCCCCTCACTTCTGGCCATCACCCTTGCTTATCCAGTGCTGGGCATGGGACAGTTTGGTAAGGGTGTGTAACACAATTATTACCTCCAGGTACAGAGCATAAGCACTTCAGAGAGACACGAGGGGAGCTTTAAGGGGACGGGCAGGGTGTGCGGTATGGGCACCCACGCTGGCATCACTGCAGCTGTACTGAAGGATGAAGAGGCGTCTAAGCTGGAGCTGTGCCAAGCAGTGGATCCTGTTCCACATAGAGGCAACAGGACCAGTGATGACAGCCTTATGTTAGCTGAGAGGAGAGGACAGAGGAAGAGATACTGAGCTAGCGCATACAAACAGAAGAGCTAACAATGGTAAGGCACGGTGCTTGCCTGTCCTTCCAGCCCTCAGGAGGCTGAGGCAGGAGGGTAGTGAGTTTGAGGCCAATTTGGGCTCCATTGTAAGATTTAGTCATAAAAACAAACCCAAACAAAGCAAGCAAGCAGACACACACACACACACACACACACACACACACACACACACATGCACACAAACTCATAATAAAAAAAGCTTAGAGTTGAAACAACAATACCACCACGGTCAACAGAAACAATAACTGGACTTCAACAAATTTGAGGTCCTTTGTTTTGATGGTCTCTGCTCATCAAAGGGAATGTTATGCAAAAGATAAAACATAATCAAGCTAGTAGGAGTTAAACACAATTAGATCTCCTTGCACAGGAGTTGGACACAAGCCAGGACTTCAGGGTTCTGCTGGGTGACAAGAAGGCAGATAAAAGATGTTGCATAATATAAAAAACAGTATTGGAAGTGGAGAAGACCACGAAGCCTTTTCGAACAGTGCTTCCTGTTCTGCTCTGCTCTACTTCTATTACTGAAGAGGAAACCAAGGCACAGACTTAGCTAAGGACAGGTTGTTGCTGGTCACACTGGCACTAGAAACCCCCATTCAGCTCACACATCCTTTTTAGCCTGCCCCCATACACCACAGGGACAGTACTGGGATAGATCAGGATGATGATCAGGACACAGAGAGGAGATATTAGGACGCTACTTCCTGGATCAACCCCTCCTCTGGCACAGACCACAGATATATGCTGTGTAGAACACTGGCACCCTGCCTAGCCCAATATGCTTCATGTATTGTTGCTAAATGTAAAACCTTCATTTTACTATTTTAAATGTTAACCAGGTCCTAAAATTTTTTTTTTCTTCTTCTGGAACTCACTATGTAGACCAGGCTGGCCTCGAACTCACAAAGATCTACCTACTTCTGCCTCCCAAATGCTGGGATTAAAGGCATGCGTCACCATGCCCAGCTCTAAAAGTTATTATTATTTTTTTAATACTTTATTATTTTTATTTTATGTGTATGAGTGTATTGCCTGCATGTATGTGACTGCACCCATGTCATGCAATGCCGCAGAGGTCAGAAGAGGGCTTCGGATTCCCCTGCAACTGGAGTTATGGATGGTTCGTAGCCACCATGTGGGTGCTGGGAATCGAACCTGGGTCCTCTGCAAGAACAGTAAGTGCTCTTAATGGCTGAGACATCTCTCCAGCTCCTCTAAAAGTTAGTTTTTAAAAAATACTATGTGTATGATGTGTCTAGTCATATTTAATTATTTACTGCCAATATTTACTGGTTGGGGATCTGCCTCTCTCCACCCTACCCAGTGCTGGGGGTAGGGTTATAGGTATATGCAACCATGTCTAGCTTTTACATGGGTGCTGGGGATCCAAACTCAGGTCCTCATGTTTGCATAGAAAGCACTTTACCCACTGAGCCATCTCCCCACCCCATGAACTTAAAGTTCTTAAAAGCACTTCTAGGGACTCCAGTGGTAGGCAGCTGAGAAAATTAGCCCATAGAGGCCTCATGCTATGTGACTTCCCTTGTACCTCAACTTGCATAGGTGTTAAGGCATTTCTAGTCTCCCCTAAAAGGGGCACAGCTTGCTCCATTACCTCAGGGCTCCTGCACTGCCTAGACCAGGAAAGTCACAGAGCCCTTCCTGCTTGGTGCAATGGGACCAGCAGAGGTTCAGGCTACATCCTGGACTCACCACATCCTTCCTGTCCAGCACCTCCAGGATGTTGCTTAGAAGCTGCGAGCTGGCCTCGTGGTCAGGTTTGCTTGAGTGGTCATCCAGCTGGCCACTGAGCTGGTCCGTCAGCAGTGGCAGCAGCACCTCTCTGCACTCTGAGGAAGAACAGACAGGGGCTCACACAGGGGGCCACCACCTGCAGATCTGCTAGCTCCATCTGCCATTCTGCTTGTCCCTGGACACTCCGCAACCAGCCCAGCCACTTGGGGCAGAAACTTCAGTCATGTCCCTTGACTTCCCATACCAAGAACTTCCCACCACAGGTACATGTTGAGTATGTACAGTATTGACCCTTCTCTACCACACCCCCTCCTTTGGGGGCTGTTATTCTTTTTTCTTTTCCTCTTTCATTCTTCACTTTTTTCTTCAGTGCTAAGGCCTCTGTCTCAACTCCTGAGTCACACACAAAAGCCCTAACAATGTGAAAATTATGCAACGATTTCTCCAGTTTTTAAAGTTCTATATTTTTTGGTGCTAAGATTGATACACGTACTTTACTACTGGACCACACCCTCAACCCTTCTACAGCTTCTTAAAATGCCAGCATGGCACGCCAGCCCTAAGTCATGGAAACAGATAAAAACAAAGCAAACCATTCATATTTTCATAAAGTTTTCCACCTTATGGAGAGAATTTATTATAAAATTCTTATTAACACTGAGCTTCCTGAGTACATTTCTAGTACATTCTGCTCTTGTCTTTGGGGACATGTGGTTAATGGAGAGTGTGACTTATGTCTTTCTCCTGGGCTCTTCATTATGATGGTTCACTATTATGATGATTCCAGGTTCTCTGGGCACTCCAGAAGGGAGAGTTACCAGTGATCCTGCTTCCTCCAGTTAGAACAATCTATGAAGACTGACAAGATGCCTCAGCAGGTAAAGGCACCTGCCCTCAAGGGCCACCACGCCTGACCACCTGAGTTTGATACCTGGAGCTTACATGATGGAAAGAGAGAAGTGACTCTGACACTTGTCCTCTGACCTCCATGCATGTGTGGTGGCACACATCCATGTGGACACACCCTCACACACCCCCACACCCACACCCACACCAAATTAATTAAATATAAAAATAAATAAAAAGAAAATAATTATCTAGCTGGGTGTGGTAGTATAGGCCTAGCTATAATCTTAGCACTCAGGAGGCTGAGACAGGAAGATCTGCAGGTCTAGGTCTGCCTATAAACAAAAACTCTGTTTCAATACAAAAGAAAAGAGAAAAGGAGGAGAGGGAGGGGAGGGAAGAGAGGGGAGAGGAGAATGGAGGGGAGGGAGGGGAGGGGAGCAGACAGGAAGGGAGAAACAACAGTTATCTATTAGAAATACTAAACTGACTTCAATCTCTTAAACTGTTTTCCCAGAAGATCTGTAAACACCAACTGCCAAGAACGTTACTGGTGACAAAACAAAGTAAGCAAAGGGCCGCAGAAATTAAGGGCTGCTCAGCCATTAAGAGCACTGGCTGCTCTTGCAGAGGACTCCAGTTCAGTTCCCAGCACCCACATGGAAGCTAACAACTGTCTGTAACTCCAGTTCTAGGGGATCTAATGCCCTCTTCTGACCTCTGTAGGCATTGCACACACATGGTGCAGTTACATACATGCAGGCAAAAGGCTCATACATGTAAAATAAAAATAACAAATAAATAATTTTAAAACTACAAAGCTTAAGTGCTTTTTCCATGTGTGCACTCCCAATTTCGAGATGGACACAAAGTAAATGTTCATTAAATATTAGTTGAAATGCTCTGATTGATGTTTATGAGAGACCACTGGATATCAGGTCAGCTGTCACGGTGAATGTTTATATAGCACAATAAAGAAGAAAATCTAAGCTCTCGTTCTTAATTTAATAGTGTAAGAGCCGGGCGTGGTGGTGCACTCCTTTAGTCCCAGCACTCGGGAAGCAGAGGCAGGTGGTGGATCTCTGTGAATTCAAGGCCAGTCTGGCCTGCAAAGTGAGTTCCAGGACAGCTGGAGCTACAGGGAGACCCTGTCTCAAAAAGACAAACAAACAAAACAAAGCAAAACAACAACAAAAAACTTAAAACTGAACAAAACACAAGGCTGAGAGCTGCACAAATCAGTCTGCCACGAAGAGCCAGGATTTCAAAAGCTCATTTGCAAAATTTTATTGATAAACTTGGAAATGCTTTTTTGTTTGTATCTTTGTCTTCTTTTCATCCAGTAAACATCAAACAGACAACAGTGCAAGCACACTGTCACATTCAATTTAAATCGCTTGCAAAAATAACCTAAGCCAAATCTAATCTGAGGCACCCACACCAGACGCCAGAGACAGGAAGTACCATACGGAGAAACGTTTGACGTGACACCACGGTAGACCACGCTAGCACGCTTGTGGCCAAGCAGCACCATCTGCATCCCGAGATGCAGCAGGTTCGGAGACTTACCTGGCTGCTGGAAAAGGCTGCTCTCTACTATCTTGGTCATGCAGTTAAGTTTCTGCCGCACTAGCTGGTTGTCGGGAATGCTTTGAATGAACTTGCAGAAGAGCACGCTGGAAGAGAGGCCCGGGGTCAGGGTGTTCCTTTGGCCCAGCCGGAGGCATCCTTCCATGCCGTTTCACTCTCAGCATGGGAAGGTGCACCTGGAAAGCTCCCAAACAACCTAAGACTTGAGAGTGTCTCTAGGGCCTGCATTCCTGTTCCCTAGCGGGCTCTGCCTTAGAACTGACTCTGCCCCAACAGATCAACACATCCACACTGGCCAGCACCTTCCAGGCCTGTCTCAAAACTCATCTTCAGCAAAGTGCCTTCTCTGCAATCTCCACTCTAAGGTCCACTGCACTCCTGACCTTGCATTCCTGGGCTACTTAGGCACAGGGCTGGAAGTGTGTTATTCCACACGTCTTTTGTAGTTAATTTTATGTCTGCAGATCTCATTTTCCCAGAGAGCATGCAAGCCTCTCTCAGGGGCAGGCTTTGTGTGTTCTTTTATCTTTTCCACAGAACTGAGCACAAAAAGGCATTTCCTTAACAGCTGTCAGACCAGAGCATGTGTGGCGGATGGGCTGCTCATGCTGGTATCAAGAAACAAACTGTCTACTCACCTGAGCTCCACGGGATCAAACACCAGTTTGACATCATTAATTATGCTAGGCAGGTACTTCAAAGCTGCCCCCTGCAAGAAGCACAGTAAAGTCAGAGTCGGTGTCCAGGAAGAAAGCTGCAGAATGATGTCTCGGTCCCAGGAGGAAAAGGCGGGGCTTGGGGCTTGGACAGGGAACTGGACACAGATGTCCCTGCCATGAGAATTGATGCCATTGAGCCTAACTTTGTCTACCCTCTCTCCCCAAAATGCAGGAGGCCCAGGCCCTGGCCTTCGCTCCCTGGAGGCTCTGTGCACTTGTAACATACTTTTCTATAGGAGGTGATAATTAAATTCAAATTTCCCCGTCACCATTAGGAGCCAGGAAGAGACAGTAAGGTTCAAACAGGAGCCTTCTAGGATTTCATGCTTCACATTTTACAGAAACTGCTGCTGCTACAGATGATGGTGACTCTGTACTTCTAGAAGGGGAGGGGCAGAGGAGAAAGCTGCCTCCTGTCAGCGCATTGGGATTGGCGCGCTAAAATCAAGGGGTTCAGCAGGGCTCACCACAGCCATTCAAGAAATGTCTAAAGACATAGCTTGTCTTTGGAAAGCTGATATTTGAAAACACAAATGATTGTTAATGTTAAAATGTGGACATTTTCCTTCTCTTCTGTTGTTTGTTTGGGCAGTACGGTGTCTGGAACCCGTGGCCTCATGCATGCTAGGCAAACACTTCAGCACAGCGCCAATATGCTCAGCCCCCTTTACCTCTATAAGTCTTACTAAACTTCTCCGGGCCGCTACCATCGTTCACTCTACCCACTCCCAGCATGGCACATGTTCATGTGGGGCCTTAGAAGAGTCACCCATGAGGACACCAGGCTGACCTTGATCTTGACAGCTTCCTCCAGAGGCCTGTCCATTAGCGCATTGAAAGCAAGAAACAGCTGGCGGATTGAGTTATTAAATTCATCTCCATCTTCACTCTGACCATAAAATCTTAACAAGAAAAAGAAAAACAGATTTTCTCTTGTTAAAAGAAATTTTAGAGTAGATTTGTGGTCTCAAAAAACAACACTAGAGGTCAGTACCTTGCTGGTTACCACCTCTAATTGTGCAAAGATATCTTATGAGGGTACCCTAGGACTGTTTTTAAGGGACTAAGTCAGTCCAGTAGACCAAAAGGACAACAGGATTTGGGTAAGAGAGAGGTGGTCATTTGTAGGTAGAGTCCTAACACAGGCTGACCAAGGAGGACTGTCAGCTGGTAAGGATTCCTCGGGAGCTGTCTGGAGGGCCCAAGCCTGGACATGCATTGATCCTGTGGTTTGCAGGCACTGCTAACAAGCAGAAAAGTAAGAGCAAGTCACTGTGTTAGACATAGCAGGTGAGCCCCACAGGCCGGTCTTCCTCAGTTTACTAACGGGAAGAACAGAGAACTCCCAGAGCAGAAGTCCTTGACAACCAGTCTTGTACACTGTCCGCCAGCATCCTGCCTTCCCTCCTGTCCTTCCTTTCCACTGTCTTTGTGCCATCAAGTCTTGGTCTTCTGAACCGAGGTTTCAGGAAATGTGTGGAAGAACTCAAGCAGAAGGCTCTGAACCCAGTCCGGCCTACAAACCACATCCACTCTCTCTCTACAGCACTGCCCAGGCAGCTGCTGACCTGATCTACTACAGGGGCCTTCGATGCCATTGACAAATACTCACTTTGATTAAGTCCTCAACTTTTCTTTGTAAGATATGCCATCGACCCAGAACTTGCTTGTTTTACCTAAGAACATACTAGAAGGTCTTTGGCTAGTTTCTCCAAAACACAGAAAACTCAAATAGCAATGACACACAGTTGGTCAGTAAGGGGCATCTTCACCGTGTGTTCAAGGGTTGGTATAATGAATTCAGAAGATTATAAACACACTCAAATACATAACGCATGCAGATTTATATTTATATTACTCTCTGTCTCACCCATTCATCTAACACACTGAATAATCCTATCGGAAAATACAAAATTGAAAAGTCTCCAAAGTCCAAAACTTTATGAATGTTAAAAGCCACAAGTGAGGGGTTGGAGAGATGGCTCAGTGGTTAAGAACACTGACTGTTCTTGCAGAAGACCCAGGTTCAAATCCCAGCACCCACATGGCAGTTAACAACCGTCCATAACTCCAGTTCCCAGGGATCCGACACCCTCTTCTGTCCTCTGTGGGCATTGTAAGACACAGGTGCACTTACATGCAGGCATAACACTCATATGCATAAAATAAAAGTAATAAATTTAAAAAAATTTTTTTAAGCCCCAAGTGCAAAGTTCCGTATCTGACATCACATGAGAGGGGTCACAGTCAAAATACTGCTGCACTAAGTAACTGTGTGAAATTACCTTGGATTATGTATATGAGGTATATACAAAACGTAAAAGAGCTTTGTGTCTAGATTTGGATGTCACCCCTAAGATAGCTTATGTCATGAAAATATTCCAACCCCTCCCCCAAATCTGAAATTAGAAACTCTTCTGATCCTCAGCATTCAGTTAAGGGATATGGTAACTAAGGAGTATGAACTCCAATGAGATCATTATTGAATCAGAGGGTCACTGGTACATCTCATCTCACACATTTGGCAGAATTAAAAAAGAACTTGGAGTGGGGAGCTGACTGGTTGCTGCATAAGCAGGAGGCCTTGAGTTCAGAGCCCTAGCACTCAAACAAAGAGCTGGGCATGGCCACATGAGCATATAACTGCCCTACTGGGGTTTGGGGCTGGGGCACAGACAGGAGGATCACTGGGGCTTGCCAGAAAATGGTGAGCTCCTGGTTCAATGAGCGGCCCTGTCTCAATGAGCGGCCCATTGAAAAGGCAGAGAGTGATGGGGAAGGACACCCAATGTTGCTCTCTGGCCTCCACATGCATGCATGGGTACATGTGCATGTACAGAAATGCATACATGATGCACACATATATACAAAACAAAAAGAACTTTGTGATTTAGTTCTAAAAGTGTCTGAAGATCAATATACCTAAATAAAACCCACCTAAGTAAGTTCTTCTGCTCAGTTCTCAGCAGTTCAAGTTTCAGCAAACACCACCTCTGCCCACCCTAACCTCAAGATTGTCTAAGGCCGTTACCTTTCTCTCACTGCCATCAAATCTAACAGCAAATCCAATTAGCTCATCCTCTTGAATCAGCCCATCTCTTCATTTTCATCTAAGACAGAGGCCCGTGTCTCACCCTTAAACAGCCCAGGTGGCCACTAGTTTTGCATAATCCATTTTCTGTACAGGTGATGGAAATATGGAAAGCTAGATTATATTACTTCCCTAATCAAAGTCTCCCAGGGCCTCCTGCCATACTTGGAGTTAGATCCAGACTCCTGGTTTCCACAGGACCCTGTCTCCCTAAGACCCATCGTCACCAATCAGGGCTTCCAGTAAGTGACATATTAAGCCACCTGTACCCATAAGTTCTGATGTCATTACTGCCTTAGAATTCTCTGGGTGCAAAAGGATCTGCCACGAACCTTCCCCAGTGGTCTTAAAGTCCACCGCCATCCTTAACCTCAAAGTCCTGAAGTTTGGCCGTTCCATGACCACCTGTTCAAAGACCTAAGTACAGGCACGAGGAGCAAGGGGGTCCGGGCAAGCAGCACCAGCACCCTACCGCTGTGATCATTACCTCAAGTAGAGCACTCGCGACTGGATGATGAATCGGAACAAGTACTTCAAGGCTTTCAGAGCAGCAAAGAGCAATTCCGTCTTGCTAGAGTCATCAGCATTAGCCACATAAAAGTTCAGTACCTTGGAGAGTTTCCTGAAAAAGGTGAGAGGAAAGTTCTGTCATGGACAACACTGTAGGCTGAGGCCTGAAGCTTGGGGTGTGCTACACAGGAAGGGAAGGTGGCATCCTGATCCTGGGAAGCAGAGATTCCAGCTGTCACTCACACCCTCTTAATAGGTAAACTGACTCTTCTGCAACTTAGTTCCCTCTCTGTCTAGGTTTGGAACTTCTGAGACACACTGGACTATTCTATGAGTGTATTTATATTCCACAAAGCATAACTTTCCTTTGGGAAGGAACTGAAACACAGGATCAAGAAATGAAAGAGTTGGAGCTGGGGATATCGATCGGCAGATAAAACCCTTGTCAGAAAGGTGTAGACTGGATTTGAGATCCCCAGAACCTATATAAACGCCAGGTGGGTGTGGTGGCTCACAAGGCAAACACTTTACTGACTGAGCCATTTCCCCAGCATGAAAGTTTGAATTTTAGATTGCTCTTCATGTGCTAGGGTAGCTCAAGATTTCTAAGGGCACCAATATTTCATTTTTCCATTGAGAATCTGAGGTTTTGATAGAATAGGCTCCAAATCCAAAGGAAACAAGTGTTGCAAATAAACCTGGCAGGTGAGGGCGGTGTGTATGCTGACCAGCTGCTCTCTGGTAGATGTGTATATGTAGCAGGTATGGAGTGGTGCCCTAGTGCAGGGGTGTGGCCTGACCCTCAGCTCTGTGTTCCTCATTGGTGACACTACCCAGCCTGTGTGCTATGTTATGATTTCGCTTCCTTGGCTTGTGAAAATTTACTTAGCAGACAGGTAAGGAACTGCATACTTATAATCCCAGCACTTGGGAGGCAAGAGAATCACAAATTCAAGTTTGCCTGGGGGTCTCATTTCGCCCAGTGTGATTTGGATCCACAGGAGCAGATTTTCTCTGCTGTAGCTGCAGATCGCTTGGAAAGTAAGGGTGCCGCGTGGAGTAAAGCGTGTTGGTGTGTCTGCTGCCTCCCCAACCATGAGGCATTGGACCCACAGTGATAGCTGGTGACTGTGCTACATGGCATCTCCTCTGTATAACTTGCATTTCTGTATCATTGTGAATGGTTAGCTTAGAAAAGAACACTGAGGCTCAATGATACAACCTGATCTATCAGACAGCAGCAATCAATACGATGTGGCATGAGCCACTGTTGAAAGGCCTGCCAACCAATCCCGGCTACATTCCTGTCAGGATCTACCCCATCACTCTGCACAGGAACTGAAAAGCAAGGAGTGGGGGTTGGCAGGCCACATCCAGTGCCATTGGAGGCTGAGCATCCCAGAGAGATGCCTGGAGTGAGCAGAGGTCGGGTCCTTTAATCACAAACTACATAGAAAGACGGTGACTGTATGGAGAAGGGTAAAACCAGTCTCTTTTCTAAACATTTTTATTATTTTTATTTTATGTGTATGAGTGTATTGCCTGCATGTATGTGAGTGCATCCATGTCATGCAATGCCGCAGAGGTCAGAAGAGGGCTTCGGATTCCCCTGGAACTGGAGTTAAGGACGGTTTGTAGCCGCCATGTGGGTGCTGGGACTCGAACTCGGGTCCTCTGCAAGAGCAGTCAGTGCTCTTAACCGCTGAGCCATCTCTCCAGCCCCGAAACCAGTCTCTCTTAAGCAAAAGGAGAAAACCCAAGTCTTCTAACATCTCACATGCAGTCTGATACTCAAAGCACTGTGGTACACGGCCAAGGGCATGACCCGCCTCTCTACTGACTTAGTTTGGCTCAGCATCTCATGCCCATCTCACAGACATCCAGTTCCTCAGATCCTGAGTTTGGTTATCCATTTGGAGATTCTCTGCCTGTCTTCAACTCCCCACTCTGTGCTCTTGGGTTTGTCTTTTTGTGTGTGCTTGTATATGTCCATCGATGTGTGCACATGCACGTGTGTATGCATGTTCAGGTCAGGGGGCTGCACCAGGTGTCTTCCTCAATCATCATCCACTTTAATTTTTGAGACATTGCTTCACACTGGAATGCACGGATTCAGCTAGATTTAGCCAGCAAGCCTCAAGGACCCTTCTGTCTCCACCTCCCTAGAGCTGGGATTACAGGTACAGACTGCCATACCCGGCTTTTTATGTGGGCACTAGAGAGCAAACTCAGGGTCTCAAGCTGGCACAGCAAGCGCTTTACCAATGGAACCATCTCTCCAGCCACAGCTCTTGGGTTTTAAAGAAACACAGCCTTATCCAGAAGGAAGGACTGAGCTTGCCACTTTATCCAGTTTCCACAAAGTCTCCTCTTCCCACAAAGAAACTTAGAACAAAGTTCCGCCCTCTCAGCAGGCTGACTGTGTGAAGGTTTCCCCTTGTTTTCTATGTGTCTAGCCTCAACCACAGATCTAACATCACATAGCTCGCTTGAGTCATACTTACTCATATGCCAAAGTGGCACTGAAGTGCTTGTAAATGTAGGTTTCAAGGACGGGATTAAAATGCTGGAACTTGATGTCTCCGATCAGTGAAATAATGAAGACCTACAGAGGTGAAAAACATCGACTGCTCCACTGCACAACCCAAGCGTTCCATCCGCAAGCTGGATTTTAACCCGGGATGCTTTGCTTTCTGGACCATTTTCCACACCTTTCTATTCTACTACTCAAGCTGAAGTTGTCTTGGGGTTTATCTTTAACGTCAAGAGAGGCTATCACATGTGCAGTATATTACTGTGAATAAATCAACACAAGCCAGCACCCCTGGCTTCAGGAACCTATTGTCTCAAAAGAGTGGAGTCAACACGCTAGTGATTTAAGTCAGAGAAGAAAAGAGGACAGAAGGAAGGAAGATATAAACTCTAATTCTGAGTGTAGCTAATGCAACTTCCCATAACATTTTTCCCGAGTACCCCCCAATGATGTGAACACCACTAGAGTTTGGTCTCCCCATTTCCTCCTTATGGGTCACCTCCAAAGCTATGGGCTACAGAATCTACAAATAATTGCAGCATGCTTATAAAGGACAAAAACGGGCAAAGGAAGAGGCCCTTGGGACCCTTCTCCATGCCCAGGGCTAGCTGCTCTGTCCCACTGGGATTTGTTTCCATGGCCTCTAACCAGTCTCCAGTCTCCTTTCCCCATAAACCTGACCATCACTAAGCTCATCTCAGTGTGACAGCAACGCCTGTCTTCATCTCACATCATTAGCCTTGATGCCACGATCCCCTGCTGGACTTACTGGTTTCCCCAAACTGGCAAACACTACACAGTTGCAATCTGCCTCAATCTGCAGCCCCAACCTTCAGGTAAAATCTTGTTCCGGACGCTCCTCAACAATAAGGAGATGATTGGTCTAGATGTGTCTGCTTCCTCCCTCCTAGACAACACTCCTGCCCTTCCCAGGTTCTCATCACCACATATCCCTGTTCTGATTTCAGTTGTTGCAATGGGCTGAAAACTTCAGCACTGTGTGACGAACCTCACTGTCTGCCAGCTTCTTACCGTACCTAATGAGGCTGGGATTCATCTCTGACCTGTGAGTCCAGCCTCCCTTGCATGACTATACAAGGACATACATCCATAAGCGACAACTTTCCTTGTGAAGGGCATCTCTTGGGTTTTGACTAGAGCATGGTTAAGGAAGTTAAAGTGTCTGCTGATTTCTAATGCAATTAAACCCACTGTTTTCCCTAATAAGAAAGTGACAGTATGTTGAAAAGGTGAGCTGTAACGGAAAATGAAGTTCGGAATAGAAGTCATTTGTTTTCTAATTTTACTTCTGAGAGTTCAGACTAAAGAAATACTTAGATGATACAAATAATTATGCACAATGATATTCATGGTACTTTAATAATACGATCAAAGAATAAACACTAGTGAATGTACTGAACAGCTTACCAATGCGTCAAACACAAGGAAGTCATATGTCTCACTGTCTGACATTTCCATCATTATGTTAAAAAGTGCATCTAGCGTATCTTGCAAGAACTGAAGAAAAACAGAGAAGTTATTTGGGTTTCATTCGGCATCACACAACAGAAATTTGGCAATCATTAGGTTCTAATGGAATAGATGTAAACACGGAGATTTTTGTAAAAATTGGTTCCCTGGCTTAGCCATGAAGATATGGATATGTATATTTACAACTGGTTTAGTCGAATGTGGTGAACCAATGACGCAGTAAGCACGACACAGTAAGTACACTTGAAGCCAGGAAGACAGAGACATACCTTCACTATCTCACCTCCATCCACCTCCATTAACTTCTTCAGGTTGTGCTTAATGTTCTGGGAGTTGGAACGCCAATTTAATAAGCCTAGCAAGTCCACTGGGAAGAAAACCACAAACCACAGACATTAGAAGGCACAATCCAGACCACTGTGGGGCATAGCTGCCGAATTCTCTAGAAAAGATAACTGCTCCGGGACTGGGAAAATGACTCAGTGGGTACATGCACTTGCCAAACAAGCACAAAGGACCTGAGTCTGGATCTCCAGAACCCACATAGAGCTGGACGCAGCAGGGTACATCTGCAATCCCAGTGTTCCTATAGTGATAGCCTGGTATGCACAACAGCGATCGAGAGACCCTGTCTCAAACAAGTGGAAGGCTAGGACTGATACCTGAGGTTGTCCTCTATCCTACACATACAAACCATGGTACACACCTGCTTGAGCACACCCAAACACAGACTCCACATGTACACAAAGATTTTAAAAAGTAACTGCTTCTACTAGTAGCCAACGTAAGAAATGCCTCAGGAATCATTTCAATTTGTCATTTCCTATCTAAGTCAGAGAACACGTTGTGATACTCTTTAATCCTTCAAAGAAAAAATTAGCCACTGATGTACAAGAACAGAAAACACTGACTGGAACTCACATTTCTCAGATGACATCATAGTTATAAAAGCAAACATAAAACACTTGTATGTTTATGCCTCCAATTTCCTGTCTGAGGAATACCTATGTCTGGGTGATTCAGAGGGAAAGAGAAAGTGTGTGTGTGTGTGTGTGTGTGTGTGTGTGTGTGTGTGTGTATAAGCATCAATTCCCTTCAATGTTAGTACTGTACTGCAGAGATTTTGGTTTTTAGATGAGAAACACTTTATGACGTGAAATTGCTTCCTTTAGGCCACATGACTACTGAGGGGTGGTAGGAGAATTTAATTAGTTTTATCTAATTAAATTTAATATTTACATTTATGACATTTAAATATATGACAACTAACAAATGAAGAAATAATGAATTTCATTAGACTGGTTTCTCTTCCTACACGTGTGCAAATATTCTAAAAAAATCTGAAATCCAAAATGTGTCTAGTCCCAAGTACTTTAGATACGGGATATTCATCCTTCACTATCATCACTGTTATTTTAAAAGATGAGGAAACTGAGTCACGGGGAGGTCATGGAAGAGCTGGGACTTGACAGAGGCAAGCTCGCTCCAACTTACTTTGACATATTGAAACAAAATTAGGATCATATGCACAGAGTTAAAGTTTGCCGTGACCTTCACTATGTTTTAAAATTCAATATTTAGTGATCACATATATTTCATCATTTAATTATACTCTAAAATTTAAACAGATTCCAATTATTGGCCATTTGGGCTGTGCAAGTGTGTTGTCTACATTATAGATATCAGGGAACAACCTCTTTGTGCACAGCTTGTTGGAACCAAGTTCAATCTCAGGAGTTAAACTCAACTTCTGTAAATACTATACCCTTGAACCCCTATCAGCAGTTTACTATGTTGATTTTCTTCCATAACTGGAGTTGTGCAATGGGCACAAGTTTGTCATGCCTTCTATGAAGTTCAGAATGTTTTCTGGCTTAATTTTTTTAAAAATTATATATATAATAATAAATAAGTATATATATATATATACATGTGTGTATATATACTTATTAATTTTTATTTTATGTGTATAAATGTTTTACCTGGATGTATATAACTGCCCCACATGTGTGCAATACCTGTGGAGGACAGGAGGGCATCAGATCCCCTGGAACTGTATTTATGAAGGGTTGTTAGCTGCCATGTGGGTGCTGGGAACTGAACCCAGGTCCTCTGCAAGAGCAGCCAGTGCTCTTAACCACCTCTCCAGCCCTGGCTTAATTTTTGATGAGTGAGCTTTGCTTTTCCAAGTGAATCAGCCCTGACCATCATTCCGCTGAGTTTAGCCATGTGTCCAGGTTGAAACACCGTTTTTAATCTCAACCCGGTCATGATTTGTCAAAAGAAACCCAATACTGACCCCTTCTAAAGATCAACCAAGATTGGAACCCGTGTGCCCTCGAGGTGTCAACACTTCCTGGTCTGTCTCTGCACACTCCTAAGACAGAGCTCCTGTTCTGCTTCAACCCAAGTCATCCTCAGGGTCACAGGTCTGCTCCTGTACATACCACAGGGCATACGGAATTGCTAAGCTAGACCCCTGGGCAGTTAAGTCTTGGCTTGCCATTCAGTAGAGCTCCTTTCCTGTGACATTAAGTTAAATGAATAACTGTGATTGTTATCAACTGCCATGTTATATGCAAGAGGTTGAAATGGAGAGCAAAAGTTTGAAGAGAAACAAAATTGAACCTCATTTGAACTCTGCAGCTAATTTCATGGAAAACTCTTGGCTTCTTGGAAACAAAGAAAAAAAATCAGAAAAGGGGAGACTATCTAGGGGACAGAGGAACTCTGCTGGGTGTAGTGGCTCATTCCTATAATATAAACTATTAAACTGGGAGGCTGAGGCAGGAGTATCACTACTAGTACAAGGCCAGTCTGGGCTACACAACAAGACCTTGTCCTAAATAAACAAATAACAAAAACAAGCAGAAGAACTCTGACAGCAAACTTACTCTCTACAATACCTGTTTGGGCAAGAGAATGATCACTGCCAGAATCCACCCCGTATCACCAGCTTCCCTTGTTCCATATGCCACAAGAAACCATATTATTCAAGCCCTTTGCTGCCTTGAAGGAAGGTAACATTAGTAATACACATTGGTTTTACAATATTAAGAGGCATGTGTGAGGACTTGAGATGGCTCAGTGATTACGAGCACTGGCTGTTCTTCCAAAGGACTCAGGTTCAGTTCCCAACACCCAATGGCAGCTAACAACTGTCTGAAACTCCAGTTCTGGGGGATCTGACGCCCTCTTCTGGTCATTGTGGGCATTGCATGCACAGGTGCTCTTACATATATGCAGACAAAATATTCATACACATAAATTAAATAAATTTTTTTTTGGTCTTTTTGAGACAGGGTCACCCCGTAGCCCCAGCTGTTCTGGAACTCACTATGTAGACTAGGCTGGCCTCAAAGTCACAGAGATCCACTTGCCTCTGCCTCCTGGGTGCTGGGATTAAAGGTGTGCACCACCACACCTGGACCAAAATAAACAAATATTTTTTAAAAGCCATTTGTGATAGTTAATTATTTTAATTGTCAACTTGACAAGTTCTAGGATCACCTAGGAGACAAACCACTGGGCATGTCCAGTCTGTGTTGAGGTGGGAAGTCCTCAAAGTGTGTGCCTACTCTAAATGTGGGTCATGTCATTCCATAGGCTGAAGTCTTCAACTGAATAAAAAGTAGAGGGGAGCTGGGCACAGGCATTCAGTACTTTCTGCTTCCTGGCTGTGTGACCAGTTGCCTCAGGCTTCTGTGGCCACACCTTCCCCACCATGACTTTGTACACTTGAACTCTGGGCCAAAATAAACTTTTCCTTTGTTAAGCTGCTTTTGTTAGGTATTTCGTCACAGCACAGGGAAAGTAACTCATACAGCACTAAAGTGCACTGAACTCTGCAGAAGGTCACTGAAAGTAGAATCCAACTGTCTAGCATCCTGTCTCAGAGGACCTGGTTCCACGTGGTCCAGCCCTATGAGTCTCATTGAGAAGTCCTTGGAGGACCAGACAGAGGCTCATGTGTAGCCATGTGGTCCCCATACCTACCATTCTGGGTGAGCTTTGTAGAGCAAATGAGGGTAGCGATCTGAAAACTGTCCTTCGTGCTGTCCTTGCTGGGTATAAAGGTGGCCACGGTTTTGGATGCTAGAAGCTCTTTTTCTTCCATTTCTACTTTGGTCCCAGGCAGGGTCAGGTAGAATTTAGCATCTTCCATTTTCTTATTATCACCCTGAAAGGGAAGGGTGTGAGAAACACTGGAAACTAGGCAACATCTCTCAGATGCTAATAATAAATACCTTCCACCAGGATCACGGGCAATGTTAGCAGAAGCAATGTGGCTTTATCACATTACACACTTAAACCCTTCTAACCCAGACACTGACATCTTCCTGCAGAGTTTGCAGCAGAAATAATTTCATCAAAGAATAAAAATGAAGTAAGTTGTGAAATAAAACAGAATATCTTAGCCTCTGCCAGAAGCAAATTAAATGTATTAGGAAATGGGTTGAGTTTCATTTTCTTGAACTTATAAATGGTCACAGTTATACTTCCCTGGGACAATGGAGGAAGAAATAGCTTGTTCTGCCTTCCAAAACTATTTGTACAAACTAAAGAGATGCTAAGGAAAATATTCATCAGTGAGACACAACTCAGACCTGCCAGCTATGCTCCAGCTACCCTCCCCAGATATTGTCGGGGAAGTGAGATCTCCCAGCACCAACTTTAAACTCTAAAATCTCAGTAGATGCAGCACTCGGCAATGGTGAGGAAGGAAGAATGGGGGCAACAGCCAGGAAAAGTGAAAGGCCCCAGCAGCGAAGAGATGGTACCCCATTCTACGACTGATCCACCCCTAGAATCCAGCCAAGCTACAGCCAAGCACTGTCTGTACCACTCGGATGATGGACAGCAGAGTCAAAGCCCCGCTGCTCTTTTGACAATCAGGACCATGGTACCCTCTGCCCAGAGTCAGATGCTCCCTGAACACTCAACAGTCAAGCAGTTTGTTCTCCTTTGAGAAGGACAGAAAACCACGTAAGGTAGGACCCAGAGTTCTCACGGTTTCTAGACTGTAGGGGGCAAACACATACTTTCAACAAGTTTCTGAAGTTTGCACATGTAAATTTGAAAGGAGCCTTAAAAGCCACATTCAAAAGGAGTAGCTATTTTGTAGCCTGTTTCTTTGAGCATCACCTTATATACCACCAAGTCGTGCCTCCCATCCTGCAGGGTGGTGCCATCTGGGTTCATCAGTTTCACAAAGGCCACACCAAATGCCCGCTCTGATTTATCTCTGGCTGAAAAGATAGAAATATGTGTCTGAGCTGTTTGGATGGACACCAGGAGATGATGACTGTGATGGCTGATTTCACATTTGCTCTAGGATGTGATGTCCAACCACAGGATAATAAACACAGGTCAACAAAGAAGGACGTGCAGGTATATGTGTCCCACCAAACTGAGACTGCCTGATCCTTCAAGTATGGGCTTTTTGCTATACTCCCTGATGAACAGGACCAGCATCCACTGAATCATCTGAATCAAAAATGTGGTACTGACCCATCTCACCTGTCAATGGCACATCCAGCACATCTGTGCAGCCTGGCCTCTTTTTCTCTCCACCACCTGCTCCCACCAGAGGCCGGGACACACTTACCCCCTTCTGTTTACCTCTATAGGCTTGTCCTTCTCTCTCCAGGTCTTTCCCACCCAACACTCTGTCCAGTAGGAGGAAGGACTCCAGAATCAAATCCATTCATGGTAACCTCCCTGCCTCAAACCCTGAAGCTGGGTGTAGGGCCTCATTCATAACCCAGCTTCTTGGGAGGCTGAGGCAGGAGGAACAGAAGCTTGAGGTCACCTTAGGCTATACACTGAGACCCTATCTCAAAAATGAACAAGAGTAATAAAAGTATAGGGCAGGGGATGTAGCTCCATGGCCAAGTGCTTGCCTGACCTGCACAGGACTTTGGGCTCAATCTCCAGCACTGGAAAAAAAAAATCCACTATTCTATTTTCCTGATACCTATGAATTCTGGACTAAAATTGCCAAATGCCTGTATTGCAAGTGTCCAGATTCACAAAAGCACATCCAGCAGCAGTAAACTTTTAATGGAAATATGTCACAGCCCTCCTAGCACTTACATTCCTGAGATGACCTGTGTCGGAAGGTAAATCTTATGTGGCAGCGGGTGACCTCTTCTATAGCGATGAAGACCTGCAGGAAGGTTGCAGTGAGCGTTTATGTATAATAAATGACTATCAACCAAAATGCATTTATTTATTTTTGACATATGACTGTATGCGTTTACCAGGTAAATTGTGATGTTTTGATTCAGATATATACTATGTAATGATCAAATTAGGTAATTAGCATATCAGCCTTTGCTCATAGCGAGTACATTTAAAATCCTCCTAACTATGAGACAATGAGACTCAGATTGAAGTTTAGCATCTTATCTAGGCATGAGAACCCTCAGAGTGAGGCTTGCTATGAGCTTCATTCACAGGCTAAAAGAACTTCAGAGGATGGGCTGGAGAGATGACTCAGCGGTTAAGAGCGCTGGCTGCTCTTGCAAAGGATCCAGGTTCAATTCCCAGCACCTACATGGTGGCTAACAACCATCTGTAACTCCAGTTCCAGGGGATCCAATACCCTCTTCTGACCTCCGTGGGCACTGCACCATATGGGTGCACTTACATACACGCAGGCAATACACTCATACACATAAAATACCCAGCTGTTTATCATAGGTTCAGAGTTTAGACACATAATGAATTTCTAGTATTCAGAGGGACAAGGCCAGGACTTTGAGGTCTTCATAGGACGTCTCCAACTACAAGACAAATAATGTGATAACTAGGGTCTATAAGACAAGAAAAAGAGAAAAGATGGGGCAATGGGGTGAGGAAGCTTGCTGCTGCTGCATACAAAGGGCAGAGCCACAGGTCACAGAAGAGCAGAGTAGGTGGTGACTCATTCAGGAAGTTACAGAGGACTACACAACAGACCATTAGGCAACTACCTAAAAACCCATTTCTGAAGAACTTAGGTAAGCACAATACAGCTGGATGTGGTAGTGCACACCTTTAATCCCAGCAGAGGCAGTAGATCTCTGTGAGTTCATGGCTAGCCAGAGCTACACTATGCAATAGCTGTTTCCTAATCAATGCTTCTGTTTAGAACTTTCTATGAGGAGGTCACGGGACCCTGACAAAGGGTGCTGTGGCAGTCAGTTTGGAAGTGACTTGCTTCAATTGGACCCTAAAATGCTCCGGGACAGCTTGTCTGTTTTAGAGCCACTGTGGGCCAACAGATGCCAGAGCTGAAAGCACTTTGGAATTTGTAAAATCCTTCTTAAAACTGAAAAGAGGCCCAGAAAACTTGGGTAAGGATCAACAAGAAAAACATGTCAGGAAACTGATGGCAGAGTATGAAAGTCTCTGCTTGTCTGGAGCATCTCGGCAGCCCACTGCATCATTACAGCCCAGCCGCAAATGTCTTTTCAAATCTCTACACATTTGTGAATGAGAATATTATCGAAGAATGTTGAGTTCTTCAAATGGATGCCCCGATACAGAACTATGCCCTGATACAGAATATAGCTATCAATTCACCTCTTACTGCACACCAGAGGAAACTTACCTGAACATTTGGAATATGGTAAAATGATCTGCGGTGAAAGAAGACAGAGGAATCTAAACAAGGTTCTATAGCCGAAAGGGGCTGTAAATGGCCCATTCTCACCTTGACCGTCTCATACCAGCACGGCTGCTTGACTTGGTAATAAACCACTGATTTGTACTCTGAAATGCCTTCATAGCCCGCACCAGGGTGAATCGCTTTCTTTGAAGGGAAAGAGATAATTAGGAGACAATACTAGGTCATGAAAAACATGGCAGAAGGTTTCTGGATGAGCGACAACCAGAAATTAATTAAAAAATCAGTGCTTTCTGACAGTGCTCACACTGACAGTGCTCACCCACACTGCATGGTGGGATTCCACTGTGGCCTTGGCGCTGAACACACAGCTTGGGCACTGTGTCCTGCGCAGGTGTCGTACCACACACTGCCTCAAAGACCACAGGCTCAAGACTGCTGCATGCTATGAACTGCAGTTGCTTTTGCTGTGTTTGCGAAGTTTTCTGCTCCTAAACATAATGGTTGAGTTACAGAAACAAAGCCTTTAATGTTTGTGTGATGTCATTCCTTACCGTGTAAATATCAAGTTAGTGTATCTTTAGTTTGGGTGGTGTTAGAACGTTTGATTTTAGGAACTGCTTCCTCGAGTTGCTGGCTCAAGTTTTACAAAAAGACATTAAGTGAATTTTAGTTTGGGATTAAGAAAGAATTTCTGAAATGACTTGGAATATACTTCTGTCAGTTTGTACAAGAATGGCAAAACTTTCACAATTATAAAATCAAAATATCGGGGCTGGAGAGACAGCTCTGTGGCCAAGCGTGCACCTCTCTCTTCCAGAGGATGGGAGTTCGGTTTCCAGCACCCATGTCACATGGCTCACAACTCCCTGTAACTCCAGCTCCCGTGGATCCAACGCTCTCTTCTGGGCTCTGCAGGCACTATACTCACATGTACATACCCACACACAGGGATACATGTACACACAATTAAAATAAAACCACTATCTGAGGAACTATTAGCAATCTGTGGCTGCTGGGAAGGGGCAATTCAGTCTTGTTTAAGGATGGGACTCTGGATAGGTTGGCAAGGCTTCAGGGGGTGAGCCCATACCAAGAGCAATTGGGGAAACAAACCCGACTCTACAGGCTTTCATATATATTCTATATATAATATATATATTACAGGAAATTTAGTGGGGTAGTTAGTAAGGAACATGCAGACAGGGGAGTAGAGCTAAGTATGCTAAAAATATATTGTAATAGTATATGAAATTCATAAAAACTCAATGAAAAAGGGAAAAAATATTGACCAGCTCTGAAAAGGGTTAAAAATTCTCTACATCCTGAGGTATCAAATATTCCACCAAGACTTAATTCATTACCTAAAAATAAACACACATATCCTTGCCATTAGAATGCAAACTTGCTTTCATTTTCAAACAATGGTAAAATTGTATGAATGTCAAAGAATTGCTTTAAAATAAATCACTCAACATTTGGTTTTTATACCTATTTTATACACCTATGTATCCAGGGTCATGTAAAATTTCTTCAGATAAAGGGGTTACATGGCCTGGGGATGTAGCGTAGCATGTAGAGCGCTTGCTTTAGAGAGGCCCTGGCTTCAATCCCCAGCACCTCAGCACCTGAGTATGGAAGCAAATGCTTATAATCCCAGCTCTCCAGAGGTGGAGGCAGGAGGATCAGAAGTTCAAGGTCATCCTTGATTACAATAAGTTTGAGGCCAGTCTGGATGACATGACACCTTGCCTCAAACAAACAAAAAACTAAAAAGGAGGGGGGTGGTCATTAGTAGAAAAGTTTAAGAAGCTCTGCTCTAGAATAGTAAGAATATTCCTCAAAGCCTGCATGCACCCCACTCCCAACATGCCTGGTGCAGGTCTAACCCTGGCATCTGTATGCTGATAAATTAAGGGGCTGAAAAAAGACCAAGACGGACTTTCTACCCTTTTTTTTAAAGGCTTAAGTTATGTGAATGTGGTAACGAAAAAGGGACCCAGCGCCTGATGAATGCTGGCCTGGCGACTGGTAACTCTCCTCCACCCTCAGACATGTTCCCTTCCTTTCCTCCTCCCTCAGGGAACAGAGCCCTGGTGACCATGACTGTGCCGTAAGGGGCTGAAAAAAGACCAAGACGGACTTTCTACCCTTTTTTTTAAAGGCTTAAGTTATGTGAATGTGGTAACGAAAAAGGGACCCAGCGCCTGATGAATGCTGGCCTGGCGACTGGTAACTCTCCTCCACCCTCAGACATGTTCCCTTCCTTTCCTCCTCCCTCAGGGAACAGAGCCCTGGTGACCATGACTGTGCCGCACACGTTGGAGTTCTGCTCTCTGAGCAAACAGAACTCTCCCTCTGGTCTGGTCTGCATTCTGCAGTAGGAACACAGGACTTGGTACAGCATGTTCAATCAAACTCAGGGCTGTGTCTTTTTTTATGTAGTTTGGTAGAGGCAGGCCTTCCAAACAGGTTACTAAAGCTATGAAGTGGCCGAGTCAGAAGACATGTGCTTGAACTCTTGGGGCATGTGGAAGGCTCTATCAACAGCATGAAGACAACACCCCCTTCCTGTGCTCCCAGCAATTCTTCAGAGGCCTCGGACACAGAATTCGACTAGGGTTAGTGGATTTTTGGACGGCAGTCCTTCAGAGCTGTTAGTGGTGACAGGGAAGTGGCAGACCTCACTGTGCTGTACCCACAAACACATACACACTAGGTCGTCCAGAAAGCTTTGTGAGCCAAGAGCTGCTGTTGTGGATTCCAACATAATTAGGTAGCAGGATAGAGGCCTCCAGGGTCACCTCTGGCCTCTCTGAAATCAGAATCAAGACTTCCTGGTCTATAGAGACAGAAAGCTGCTAGAGTCAGAAGAACTCTGGAATAGAAGTCAGAACAATGGCCTCCAATGTCTGTGTCTCCAGACAAATGAAATCTATTCAGGCTGCACATTCCTGACGACTAAAATTAGAGAGCAGAGACAGCTAACCGGCACCCAAGGGTCCCTCCAGCTTCACAAGGCTCCCTCAAGCAGTCTCCCTCGCCTCCCCTTGCCCTAAAGAAGGTGGGTGCCTTTTGAGGCCTCTGGGATGCTCCTGCCATCTTGCCCAAGCAATAAAGAAGCCAGAAGGCTTGAGAACAACAGGGAGCCTAAGAATCTGAGCTTCACACTTGAAATCACCAACGGCCAGAAATATTTCTCACCATAGGAGAAATAACAAAATGAGTCTAGATGGTTTCTGTGGTAAATCCAGTAACCGCTTATCACGGATTTATCAGATTTTATATTTTCTTTTTTTTCCCTTATGAATAAGCATTGGACATACTGACACGTGCCCGTAACCCCAGCACTCAGGAGGCAGAGGCAGGGGGATCACAGGTTTGAGGCCCGCCTAGGCACCTAGCAGATTCTTTCTCAAAAAACAAGAACAAAACAACAACAAAAACCCTAGAGAAGGAAAACTGAACTCTGCTGAGGGTTCAGAATCCAGTAAGTAGTCTATTGCTACTAGGTGATAAAAGGTGTGGCGGTGCGGTGCGGTGGGCTTTGGAGGGGATGCCACATACCTCTAAAAGGTTGCCATCCTCATCAAACACAGACATTGTCACCTCCACATTCTTGGGTGTCTTCTTCTTTCCTTTGTCAAACTCCCCATGGATCAGGGTGACATAGATGTCATTTCGAACATCGCCTGCAATATGTCAAGCTTCCAGTGAGTTTTGCTAAGAGAAGTCATTTCAAAGTTTCAAGATAGAATAACACCAGAGAAACTGCACAGGAAACAGTCCCATGACCATGGCCCATTTATTCTATAAAAGCTTCTTACCTGTGTACTGTTCTCTCATTCCACCATTCCCTACATACCAAGATGCCTTTGAACCGCAGGTTTTGTAAAAATTAACTTTATAAAAGTCTGTTGTTGACTACTATCCTCAGGCCT